ACAAAACACATAAAACATTTTCCATTTTTCTTAATATTTTCTTATTAATAATACATTTATTAAGAATGTGTTAAGCTGCAACCCTTCTTCCCATACAGATCTGACATCTGTGGCACATACCTTTGGGATGTTGGCTTTGGTTGCTGTGATTTACAGTACAATGTGGTACCTAAGAGGCTTATATGTTGCCTGCAGCTAATGCAGTAACATGTGTTTTGTCACTCTTAGGCAGAACAAACTCATTCTACCTGCTGCTTTTTCTTCTGCATTGGCTGTCTGTACACAAGTCACATTTAAGATATTTGTATAGCACCAGAAGCTATTGAACAGCTAGTCTTTGTGATTTCATTGTCCTTTTATTACACGATAGATGATGCATTTCTCAAGTTTTGGCAATGCACAAAGGATAAAAAAAATCGTGTACCTGCAGTCAGGTATATGCATCACTGCACTGAAATGTTCTTGGATCCTGCAAGCTCAGCAGAGTCCAGCTGGGTGGAACACTGCCCAGGAACTCTGCCCTGCTGCTGCTGATTATGATTGTTCAAAAGGGGCACGCTTCCTCGCAGTAGCCGCGTTCTTCCCTGCCTCGTGCCGAGTGAAATAAGCCTACCCTGGAATGAATGAGGATGAGAGCTCTGTGTGAATAAGGATGATTAAAAGGGATTCCTTGTCAGAAGGGAGGTGACAGACTACCTTGTGTCTCTGGGAACTGCCTGGGCATGTGTGTTTTCAGGTGAAATGTAGGCTGGAACTGGTTGGCTATTACTTGTGGTCTTTTAAGATCTCCGCACCTTTTGCAAGAGAAAGGGTTTTTCCACCTCATTGTCCAGGTGGAATTCTAACTGGGAGTTTTCACATTCTTCCTGCTTTCATTTCCCTGACACTTCTAGCAAGACATTCATCAATCCCTGCCCCAGGAGCACAGCTGCTCTTCATCCTGGAGCTCGTGGAGTTTCAGTGGTAGATAAAGAACATCTAGAAATGGGTGTCTAGCACCACTGTAGGCATTGTGGGGAATCTCTCCCGGCCTCCGACTGCTGCTTCAGAAGGATGTAGGACTCTCTGTATCACACCTTCCAGCTGCATATAGATGTTTTGGATCCATTATGTTATCGCTAATAGTGTAGGCAATATGACATGTCCCAAGTGCATTTAGGTGGGTAGGTTGTGAAGCATTTTGGGGTGCCACTGAAGTTAAAGTGATCTACAATGGTATGCTGTTCTTTGACTGGATCCTGACTCTGTAGCTGGGCAGATGTGCCAAAACCACTGCCCACCTTATCAGTACATTTGAAACTGCTATTCTGATCTACAGCTTCATTTAGAGCAGCGGGCAGCCAGTCTACAGCTGGGCAGAGTTGCCTGTCCTCAGAGGTGGAACAGGTCATTCACACAGTAATAGCGTAGTGTGGTAGTAGTAAACATAAAAGCATACTTGTTTCCTGATTTGTTCTTCTATGGTCAAGCCATAGAAGTGGGCAGAAGCTATTTGCCCAATTTGGGAGTGGATAAGCTCTGTTTATTTGTATAACATTCTTTTACAACGGCATTAAGGGAGCAGGCAGGACACACCCTTACATTCCTCTGAAGGGTAACCGACCTTGGTATGCCTGAAAAAACCCAAAATACAGACATAAAATCAGCAGTTATACTTTGCAGGGTTATACCAACACTGTCAGTTCTCTGTGCTTTTCTTGACAGCTTACAGCATAAGGACACCTTTTAGCTGCTTGCCTGTGGAGTACCAAAGGTGTGAGGTAGGTTAGTGAAGGTGGATGCCGAACTCCACCTCCTTTACCAAAGAGTAACGTAATACCTCTGGCTTCACTGGCCTGGCTTTCCTAGGAACTGGGCAAGTAGGCACAGACCCTGACTTTGCACCTTTGGACTTGTCTAATTTTTAATACAGTTCAAAATCAGGAAGATGGTAACTGAAGCTCTATCAGGGGTCCTGGGGTAACATCCACAATTTGCATGTGTGCCTTCACTTTTGTGAAGGATTACGATATCTCCTCACTGTGAGGTTGTCATCAATCCTCTTCTTTTAAATAAAACTTAAAACCTATGGCTTTTGTGAGCCATTCAGCACAGGACAATGACCTAGTCGTACAATTTAATATGACTTAATCTTGTATGCAGTTTTGGCAGAGTTTTATCTTTTTTTTTTTCTCTCTAGATGAAAGTGCTAATAGTTGAGACTGTAGTCACCAACATTACTGTTGTGACTGATTCTCTCCAGCTTTGATTGGATTTGTGGGACCAGATTTCCTTATCGCTACTATTAAGCATTTGATCTGACGGTAAATACTTGTTCAACTGAACGTAAAAAGTGCTTGCTTATCCAGAAGCATTCATGGCAAGGAATGATAATTTGCTCATCATTCTCACTTTTTTAACACTCTTTATGCTGTTCAGCTATTTAATGATTTTTTTCTTTTAATCTGCACAATTAACTAAAATATAATGGCAAGACTGGTCGCTGTAGGAACACTTGGACTGTCAGGACAGAGCTGTGCAGGATAGTTAGAAAGAAATACACCCAAATCAGGGGTTACAAAGCAGCTGAAGGAAAGGTTTTGGAGAAAGCCCTCAGCAGCAGCAGGGGCTGCAACTACAACTTTTCAGGGAAATAGGAGGTGGGAGAAGCAGAAGGGAACCGGGGACCCCTCCACAGTCGACTGCCGGGTAACACGGATCCGGGCGCAATGAGAGACTGCCGCCACACCTCTTGCGTGCAGAGAGGTAGAGGGTCTGCAAAAAAGAGAGAAGGGGACATGGGAGGAACGTAGGAAGATCAGGAAGTTCCTTGCCAAAATAGATTACCCAAAATGGATCCCCAAATCTGCTTTGAAGAGCAGCAATGCAGAAGGAATTGTGCCTTCTACCTCGCTGCAGCTGTATGTGGTTCAGTGGCCTGACTCCATTCTGCAGCGTTTCTTGTCCAGGCGGTAGTTGTGGCAGGCTTGTGGGGAAAAGTGGTAGCAGCAAATTCTACAAACGACAGTTTTTCTCCAGTCTGCTAAATGAGCTAACGTCATTTCTTCTGGCACTTTTTACTTTCCAGGTGAAGTTTAATCTTAGCCTGTCACTCGGTGCTTTTGCTTAAAATGCCAGTCTCAGAAATATAGTCAAATTTTGCTCTCTGTCTCTTGCTGTATAGAATTGAAGTTATACAGAATAGATCTATATTTAAATGGCTTAAATTACTGTAAATGTAAGGAAGAGAGATCAATTTTCAGAGTAATTTCAAGTTGGGCTATAGGATACAACACCCAGGTATTTGGTATTCAAAATGGCATATTAAGCAAGAAAATAGGCCATTATATAACTTACTTTATTTTCTTCTAACAGGTGTTGGAAGATCATGGCATGCCAATGGATGACAGTCAATTCAGTCTACTAACGGAAAAACTAGGGTTACCAGATGGAGGGTTGAGTTATCTGGATTTTGTGGCAATACTGGAAGGTAAAGGAATTTTAACAACAATAAAGCATGAAACAAGCCTTTCCTGGAAAGTCCAGAACTTTTCTCTTTTGAGGAAAGTCTATTGGTGGAATTAGGAAGAGATCAGTGATATGAATTTTAGCACATGGATGATCTTCCTGTCTCTAGTTCTTTGACTCCTGATCCAGCTAAGCTGCTGAGTATCTAACTCGGGATGAGAGGGAAACTGGAACGTGTCGGAAGTGAACTAACTAAAGCTCCACAGACAGGGGCGATTGAGTTGTCACTAACAAATTGCAAAAAGTAATTGATTGATCGCTCTGCCATGAGTAGATCCTTGTCCTCGGCATTTCTAATTTTTATTCACAGTCTTGGAACTGAGTCGTATCCTAAATTCCAGTGGATGATTTTACAGTAGTGATGTCCAGCAACTTTTTCTGTTCTGTGTAAAAAGCCAGAAGACAGTAACTAGTCTTTTCAGGAAAGAAAGATCTGTTAGTAAGCCATTAGTGATGAGTTTTAGTAGCAGTATATACAACTGGAGCTCTGTGGTGTGATCTGGTTACTTAATGCTTTATGGTTTTAATTTGAAGTATTGCTTTTGAATGTTAAAGCTGTTAAGGGATGTGCTACTATAGAATACTGAAATGTGGTTATCTATAAGGTAATTGACAGTTTTATTAGAGTATTAAGAATCCCAGTGAGAGAGCAAGGTTTACTGTTTGTGTAGATATAGATGTATTGTCCACCCATGTAACGAGGATGTGGTCTTCATTGATTTACTGTTGCTGAGGAATGACTACCAGAGGAATATAGCCATCATTTGGGAGCACATTTTTGCACCTCAGATACTTACCTTGCCCCACCAGTAATTTCACTGATTTCAAGGCACAGTAAGGAGTTTGATTTTCAACTCTCAAAAATGAAGCTGATGAAATCTGAACTGATTTCTTAGGGTGGAACTCTGAGTGCAAACTAAAGCTAGTAAGTAATTATTAATTTCTCATTTCTTTTATACTTATGTTTTAAGTCTTGATTTTGTGGGTAAAATTCTGATGCCACTGAAGTCAACGGCAGTTTTGCCCTTGGCTTCAAGGCCTGTTTTAACTTTCATATTATGCCTCTCTTATTTTTCTGAGAGATGTGCATTTACTTTTTCACACTGTTCCTATTATTTTCTGCTGTCATTATTTCTCTTTTAGAACTAAGACAAGAGGAATAGCTGACTTGTGGCTGGCTAACATAATATTCAGGGTTTTCTTCATTCAGGCCTAGAAGTTTAGAAGTTTATGAACATAGCCAGCTAATCATCTGTCCACCAAAATATGAGCACCTTCATTCAGTAGCCTAATAAAAGATGTTTGAAACAGGTTAACCTCAGGGAAAATGAATGTGACAGCTCTTTGATTTAAATCAAGAAACAACATTTTGTCTGTAGTTGAAGGTTTTGCTTTTGGCAATTAAGAGAATCACAGCTTTTTTTTTTCCACACATTACTATATCTCATACTTGTAAAAGAAAGTGTGGCCCACACTTAACATTAAGTAAGTCTCAGAAACCAGAAGGCAAAGAAAAAACCCTCCTAACTTTTCTTTTTCAATGATTTGCGATTCACTGGGGTGGAGGGTAGTCTGTAGTTACAGAAAAAGAGACCTGATTTTCTTCTTATAAGCTTTAGTGGGAAGATAACACGAGTACAAATTTTCTTGACTAGACTCTAATTGAAACTGGAATTGAAAAAAGGGAAGGATAGTGCATGTCTATAGAGGAGTAGGATTTAAAGGGTAAAATTAGGAGAAGTTAAAATGATGCAGTGAATACTATTTAGTGATTCTTTAGAGTCATTGTACAGGCTCTTGTGTGTCAGTGTATGTAAATCTTTTAAAAAAAAAAGTTCCTTTAGAGCAGGCCATTAACTTAGCATTTTTCTTATCAATCAGGAGTAGTGAAATGTCAGTGTATACGTTTTTCTTTGCAAGTCTATCCCATTTTAAAATCTACATGAATTACTTTACTCCTCTATATGGCTCATATGTTGCAGAAAAAATTGAAAATGCTCAAGACGCTACAAAAGATGCTTAGTCTCCTTTTCCCCAGAAGCAAAGCAAAATAGATTCCTAGAGTATCACTGCACAATGAGCAGAAGGAATCAGATCTGGAACAGTGACCAAAATACATTTCCTATGGCCTAGAAGTACCTTAGCCCTTCAGGACTGGAAGTACGTGGGTGCCCTGCTGGGAATCTGGCTGTCACCCTTTCCTGATCCTGCTGGACTGTGGGATAACACACTTGTGACAAAATGAAGCTGCTGTTTGTGCAGCACTGAGTCTTGCCAGAAAAGAACATCAGGTAAAATAGTTTCAGGGGTGATGCTATGTTAAGTCAGGAGTGTTTCGATGGCAGATCTCCTGAAACAGCTCACATTGGTGCAAACCAGAGAAGGGTTTAGGCAGGATAGAATTGCTCCAGGGGTGATGGTCTAGCATGCAGCGGTTGTGCTACACAGCCAAAGATGTAACAAATTACTTTCTCTGACACCGTCTGTGGCTGCTGTATTCCCACACTGGGACAGACGGGCGGTATGACAGCAAATCACGGCTTTCACGGTGCTCCTTTTCTCCTCCTCCAGTCTGATAGCTCCCTTCCTTAAAGCAACCAGGCACCAGAGGAGGCTAAAGCAAAAGCAAAAGCCCTTGTCTCAGCTGCGTTTTCTTCAGTTGAGATTACTTTTTTCACCTTGTGCTGGGAACACAACAGCAGCTGAGGCCATTACTGTAAATTGGGTGGACACCGTGAATACTGCCTACAGCTATTGGACTTTGTCATGTTTGGGCTGTAAAGAATACAATTGCAGGGTTTCTTGTTTTGTTTATGTTATATTACTGTTCTATTTATCAGGTATCTTTAATATTATCTTTTCAATGTTGTTGTACTTTGATTTCATTATTGCAGGTGCCAGACTGAATGGGCCAGGAGCTACATTATGGAACAGCCCAAACCACAGAGTAAATGATGCTAAATATCACTACGTGACTGCTGATGAATGTCTCAATCAGCTTAATAACAAACTGATGGAAGTCTACGGGGTAAATACATCAAGCCATGGTTTGCTTCTGGCAGTGAAGCTGGTTGTTATTTTGATTCAGACATTTGTTTTAAAAGTTGGTTTGGAGTAGCTGTCAGGAAAGTGACTCTAAAAATTATGTTGGATTTCATGTCTTCTGTGTTCTCAGAAACTTCCATTTCAAATGCATTCAGTTTTCAAGGCAAAAACTCTTTTTTTGTTCCTAATTGTCTTCTCTGCAACCTCTACCAGGAAAATAAGATCTGAGTTATTTTTTTTCCATCCTTTTGTGAACAGAGCTATTAAAGATTCTGCAATTAGAAAAGAATAACTCTGTACTACCCATTCATGGAAGAGACCATGTATTCATGAGAATGATCTTTCAAGAAGATGTTCTTAGACCCTAAAATTTGAAACACAGTGATCTTAATTAAGAGTTATTTTCCAGCTTTTCTACATTTGCTTATTATTTTCTGTAATTACCATTAGAATGTACTCCTTGAATTCCCACCATGGATATGCACAGAATAAGAGATCACATTTTACGAAGGAGAGAAGCCACAGTTGTTCTCTTTTGCTCAGCTCATCCCATCCCATCCCATCCCATCCCATCCCATCCCATCCCATCCCATCCCATCCCATCCCATCCCATCCCTGTTCCCTGGGAAAAGTGGAAAGATCATCATTCAGGAAAGGCATCCTCTGTTCAAACCAGCTTGGACTCCCCTGGTAAAGCTGATCATATTGATCAGCGTTACTTCAGATTTCTGAAGAACTGCACCACTTTAAAGTTGTTGGATCATTTTACATCAGTTTTAATGGGAAAAGCTGTTCAGCTGACAAATCAATTCCTGTAAAGTCTCTTTTCATTATAGGTTTTCTAAGAGTGTGCAAGGGTAGAAATGAGGTACCTCTCAGTATAGTACTGATGGAAAGTGGAGGTTAATTTGTAAATTTGTATGGGGTGGCTTTTTCACGTTCCATACGTTTGGTCACTTTGTACATGCTTGAGGTGAAAGCAACAAGACTGCAGTTTACTGTGGACTATCCCAAGTGTTTAGTAAGGAAGTGCTATAAATGCTTTGTATTCTTGAACTGCATTGAAATATTTGCCTGTTGTCAAAACAAGTCTAGAGCAAACAGTTGTTATTTATGTTTAAAAATACGTAGTTGTTAAATATATTTAAATATTCCTTGTTAGGACACCTATTCTGCCTTCCATGAAACAGACAGTAACCATGACAGTATCATCAACATGCTTGACTTTTGGCAATTCTTGGACAGCTTTCTGCTTTGCCTGCGAGATGAGGAAATCCTGTGCCTACTTGGTTTATTGGGACTGAGCCTGCCCTCCATGTTAAATTACCAAGAATTCTGTCAACTGTTGCACACCCAAGAAACTAAGGAGGTACCTCCTCAGCTTGTGCCATCTCACAAGTAAGAAAGAAAAAGTTGTATAGTACCTACAGTAATCTGATGTGTTTACAGAAATGAATATGCTGAGTGAAAATTTGTCTTGGGTATAATTGGAAAAAAATAGTATTAAAATATGTCTATGAAAAGGTAAAATTGGGTAGCTTTCTACTTAAAGACAGTAGAAAAATCACAAGTTCTCAGTGATTCATGACTCCATTAAATCAGATATTGAATCTCTACCCCTGGGGACTGCTTAAATGTGTAAGGTCAAACATATACACTGATGCCTGAGTTGGAGCCTCAGAACTGAGCTAGCCTCCAAACTGGACAACTTTGCTGCACCTTCCAAGCATGCAGAACTGGGGACGTGGTTTGGGAATCTGATGTCGTTTTGCATTGAGGAGCAGCCAGGGTATCACATGCCTGGCACAGCATCTGTCAGTTCTGAGACTAAGATAGTTGCCAGTGCACACGACAGTGGCCCGAAGCCTCATGCTCCAGACCTTTGGTGCCAGGGGGCTGAGGGTAGACCAGATGGGGTGAGGTGCACAGAAGCACTGAGGCACCGTGGGGTGGGTGGAGGACAGGGAGAATAGTGCTGCAGCCTCCCTTCCTGCGAGAAAGGAGTCTGCTTAAAACACCTGGAATTTTAAATCTTGGGCTTAACTTTAGTGATTAATCGCATTTCGGCACTAAGATATTCATTCTAAAAACACAGCGTGAAACTCTGTTTAACTATGCAAACAGAGATAAATTCATAAAAACAATGACAAGATACAGCAGGATTGAAAAAGCTCATGATCGGCAACTCAGCTCTGCTGTGGCAGTGAAGATGTGATATATACACATAGGCTTATTTCCCAGTTTTTATTTGTCTCTTGCGGCATTACTGCTGGCTCTGATGTTAGTAATATTTGTCTGCTCGGTTTGTTTATCTTTTTTGCTGAATTGGACAACTGAGTGAATCGAGGACGTCAGTCTAAAAGAAGAAAGGAAACGGATGATTGAGTCTTGCTAACAGTTGGAGTCTGAGACCAATTACTGCCACGCTCTCCTTTCTGTTTCAGTTTGGGCTTAGCTAGAAATTGCAGCATTTTGAATTTAGCTCCAGAAGTTCCTTGTTTCAAATACTATTACTGTTTCAGAAGTCCAGCAAAGACAACACAGTGACTGAAAGCCTTAAGAGCACTTGCATTTTCCAAGCGAAGTTTTCAGACTCCTTTTGTTGGTCGATCGTTCAGGCCTATGGGATCTTGTCTCAAGCAGTGGGAGTGGGGAAAACTCAGAAGGTTCCCAGACACCGAAAACAGATTAATGTGGCATTGGCGTTCCTAAATCTGAAAGGAGCCCTCAGTAAAGGCTGTCAAGGCGCAGAGCCCCGGGAGCTTAGAAGAGACCGAGTTTGCAGCCTGGCAGCTCTCCAGGCCCCGAGTCCTGGTCCGCGCCTGCGGCGGGCGGCGCAGGAACTCAGCGGGTAGGTCAGGCCTGGTCACCGCGCCTCGGCTGCTCTGCAGACCTAACGTTCCTCTGCCTCTCCTTGGAGAACCTTGGTCCAGGCAGCGTATTCCTGGAGCGCAGCTGAACCAGGCTCTGAAGCCATAGGCCCGCCGCGTCTCCTCACAAGGCAGTAGCCGGGGGAGAAGCGGGCCCTCTTTCAAAGAAGGGTGAGATTCTCAGACGGGTGCGTCCTAGTGTAGCGCGTGGATTTCGTCAGCCTTCTGTGCCGTGCAACAGCCGTGCTGGACCCCAACCTGAGGCACCCTTGGTCCTCTGCGCGCTTGGATTCAACCAGAAGCACCAGGCCCCCCCAAAGTTAGGCACTTGTAATGGTGCCTGAATTTGCAAAGGGGAGTCTTACTCCCCAGACTTACTAGCCATGCCTCGGTGACTCACAAAGATAGTTTTGATCTACGTTATTGATGTAAATCAAGGATAATCTTCCTGGAGCCACTCCAGGATATAATTGTTTCTGAGATAATTAACATTTCCTTCTGCGCATATAAATGATCCATGCTGGCTCTTGAGTTTGAGGGAGAATTGAACAACATTGATTTGAAAATAAATAGGGAATTACAAAATTTAAAACATCTTCACTAACCTGCAGCTAGGGAAATAAGGCAGTATTTAAAGAATTAAGTTTACACAGATGTGAAGTAGCAGTCTCTACTGGGTACCTTAGAAACTAGGAAACAAAACCACCGCTACCGTGAAGAACAACAAAAGGGAAGGAAACTTGTGGAGATTAAAGATCCCACTAATGTAAAACATAGTTAGCTGTTGTAGTTTTTTTTCTTTTCTGAGAAAAAAACAGATGATAACGGATGCAGAGCTAGCTTGTGATCACGCTCATTACTACCTAGTTATCAAAGCAAGAACCAGATGGCATGACCTAGCAAGGGCAAGAAGAACGTTTTCTTTAAATAAATAAGCAGCACTAATAGATTTCAGAACATTATGCAATGTTGATCTTCAGATTCTATAAATATTCAGAGACCCTTGCAAAATAGCTCATTAATGATAAAAATTTACTACATGATTAAAAAAAAATCAACAGTTTGAATAATATTCAATTTTTGTAACATTGATTATTTAGTAAATGCTATTACAGTTATTTAAAACTTTCTTAATATTTTATGATTGTTGGTTTTATTTAATATGTCTGTTGTAAGAGTAGTGATGGGCTTCACCTGAGACCTCTTTGAATACGTGCTGTACACAAACACACAACTACTCCTATGCTGACACCCAGCACAGTGAAGCATTGACTGTGATGCTTACACCATGCAAAGAGACTCCCACAAAACTGGCCTATAAAAATTATTTCCACCTTTTCATCTTTTTAAACTTGTCGAATAGCTGCGATATTTGGACAACAGAGTAGCAAAGGAAAAATTATTATCATTTTTTCATTAATTGTGTGTATCAGACAGTGGTACTGATGGTCTCAGTTTGCAAGATGAATGATAAAAAACCCAATAAACCCAACTAACCAACCAAAACCCAAAGCCAAATCTGATTCATATTAGGTATAGAACAGGTTGGGAAGAAAATCTGCAGGTCTGCCATCTTCCACCGGCATGCGTCAGCACTGGCCATACCCACAGCTACATGCACGCTTCTCATGCTCATATCCCCCCGTATTTGCCATCAGCAGAAACTTTCCACACAGAGTACGTCACTTAAACACCTGTGATGTCAATCCCGATTCAAGCTTTTGAGTAGCATATCCATAGCAGAAAGTAGGAAACAGTAAAAATCAGACAAAAAAACCTTAAAAGATTAAACTCAGACATGCATGATTTTCTATTTCTTTCTCAATTCCTATTATTCATTAAGTTTATAGAGAGATCAAACATTTTGTCAAACTTGTTGGTTCTTGTTAGTGATGATTTTCTTTTACGTTCCAGAATTTTCAGGAATTTGACAGTGAAGGAAATGGCATTTTACACAGCCAAGGGACTTGGAGAAAGTATTTTTCAGATTTGGCATTCCAATCACCCCAGAAGAATTTAAGCAGCTTTGGGCAAGGTATGACAACTCTAAATGATTAGCTCTTGCAATAATGCATCTTTTATGGGATTACAGAGCCTTTGGTGGTGTAGCGAATGACAATAGATTACACTGCACAAGAAATCTTTTATTTTGTTATGATTGTGACCTCAGATCATGACACTGTGTTGCAGGAAGCTACGTCTTATCATACTCAGCTCAAGAATACGATTAGATCCATCAGTTTCCAATGAATTCAAAGCCAGGGCTTTCTCTTGACTTTAGTATTACTGATCCCTTTAACTTAACATGGATTTTCTTCTTGGGCGGCACCTTAGGTCACCGGTTAAATTAGTTTGCTTTTCATCCATTTTGTTTATACACACAAACCTCCTGCCTCAGTTTGTGATGGGTGAAAGTCAGTCCCAGGTGTCTCAGATCAGGTGAAAACTGCAGACAAAGCTTCCATCGAGGAGGTCTGTGGACAGTCTGCCTTGCATACCTGTCTGAAGGCAGTGCTACCAGGCTCTGCTTCTCAGAGCACTAAATTTACTTACAGTGTTTTCAACCTAAATAAAAGTGATTCAGGGGACAGAAAAATGCTACATACCAAATATATAACAAAAGAAAGGTAATCTCATGCTGTGTAAAGATGGCAAGTAATAACGTGAAATGTTTTTATAGACAACTAATTTGTTGTGAAGTGGGGGAAAATACTTGTCTGCCTTCAAAAAGAGGAGCTGTGTTATAAACTGTGTTTGAAATGGCATAGATGTCAGCTGTATGTGACATTATATAAAAAGCTACCTTTTTCACAGGTCTATTTAAAAAAAAAAATATCACTCTCCCTAACATATAGAACCCGAGTGTATTGCATTTTGGTTTCAAACTGCATTAACTATATCGTTTTTCCCTTAGCACTGATTCATCTCTGAGTTATTTTCTACTCCATTAGATTTTACCTTCCATTCTTATTCCTTATGGATGCCATGGCACATTGAAGAGTATCCTTCTCATGCAGTTATCGACGGCACAACTTCACTCCCATCAGCCACTCCTTTCATAGAACAGCTAAAGTCTTTTACGTGCCTGATATGTCTGTAACTTGAATAAAGGAATTAGAGTGAAGCTGAGGCTAAATCAGGCATTACCATGCATCAGAGCACTAGCACTAGCAGAGAATCTGCAGGAGAAAAAAACCTACGGAAGGGTTTATACCTAAGAAAATATCAAAAGTGTTTACGAAGCTAAAGCCATGTTTCTGAAGGGTGATTACCATTCCGAGCATCTCAGACTTGTGTGACCAGTTTGAGACATTTGAGGCTGAATTTTTAGGAGTCCAGTTCTCTGCATCTCAAGCCAGACACTGAAAGGCACCAGCACTGAGTAGTGGAGAATACTCCCAACAATTTGGTCCTCAGGGTAGTATTTTCAGAATTGACTCTGTGATTACAACGCAGAAGCCCTATCTTTCAAGTCTCATATAAAGTCACTCACTCGTTCTCCGTGTGGTATGGCATCTCTATAAGGAAGGGAAGTCAGTGAGACTTAAGCTGTTAAGTCACTTAAGGATATCTGTAATGCCTTTCTATGAGGAACACATGAATATTTAAAAAGAGCATTTCTTTTTCAAGGTATGATGCAGATGCAAAAGGATATTTTACTCACTGAGAATTTTTACAGAAATTGGGGATAGAGTTTGCACCTGCTGACACAGGGCTCAGCAGACACATCACAGAAGATAGGTATGCACATTTACAAGCACATTATAATAATCGGCAAAAGAAGCATTCAAAGCTGGAAGAGCAACAGAAGCAGCAAACTAAAGCTCTGCATGTAAAAAAAATAAAAAGCAGATCAAGTTATTTATTTATGAGCTTAGCATATAACTTTCTATGCTTGTGTTTAGTTTGTTAAGATGACACTGTGTATAATACAAATGTAATTTTAGCACAAAAGGCTCTGAAAAGGAGTCTCAGAAGGTACTGGACCAAGCTTATAAATAGTGTTATTCCCTTGATTTGCTAGAGATAAGCCTAGCTCAGTGTGCCTTGTGAGACTTTTTAAATAGATATTCTCCATGGCTTATATTATTTATTTTACAGACTTTATGGCAGCATCTATACTGACAAATCAAAATGTCCAGAGACATTCCCAGACTCGGTCATCTGTGCTGCTCGACTGCCCAAACAGTCCTCATCATGCATTGGCCTGTGCCAGCTAACGTTTTCCCTGATTACTCCCAACACCGTTTGGGAGCAAGAATGCTTCAAGGACCATTCCTAATACGCCATTTGCAGACAGCTGCTCCCTTTCAGCAGCTAAGGAAGGTTCACTGACAGGGACCTGGCATCTGTGCCCAGAGCACTCCCTGGCCTCTTCATTGGTGTAGTCTCAGCTTGTGGTTCCAGTCCTAACACCGCTTTCAGCTCAGATTGATGGGGAAGAGCAAGTGCAGTTGTGTCACCCTGCAGGTCTCTTCTTCTCAGACTGCTTCAGGCGACGTAGACTTAGACCTACCTGATTACGCTCAATGGGGGCTTTTCTTGCAGCTGGAATGGTTGGGCAGGTAGGACACTGTGGTCCCATATCCTCCCCTGCCCCTTGGGTGAGGGCCACAAGTAGCCATCACAGCTGGTTTCACATCCCTCTATCAGCTAGTTAAATTGTTGGTAAATGGCTTTGTGGATGCAGCAAAAAACAGCCTTGACAAGGATGGGCCCTGGCTCCATATGGTAGAAATAAGAATCTTGTCTCCACGCAAGAGGAGTCTCTGCCTCAAACAAAATCAACACTCACAGAGTTAATAGGTCACTGCTCCTGAGAAGAGCGTTTGGCAAACAAATGACAAAATGATATCCTACCCAGAGTGGGTCTAATGATCCATGCTTGCCCTAGTGAGTCAGCAGTGGTTAGCCTGCTGCTGCTGTAGAATTCCGGCACCTGCCAGCAGACTGAGGCAGCAGGAGAATCCTCTGCCCCAGTACAGTGCTGTTAAAACTTTTTATTCCCAGGTTATGGATAGACACTACCTGGACGCTTATCATGTTTTCTGTTTGTGCTTTCACTCTTCTCCTGAACTGTTGTTTATTTATTTGGGAATATAAAACCTCAGGAGCAAAAAACATGTGAAAATATACCCCCAAGAGCACAGATTTTCTTTCTTTTGTGCTTGGAAAGTGTCTGGACGTGGTAGGAACTAATAAATTATTATTGATAAGAATGATAATTCCCCATGACATTGTTGGTAAAGGTGATACACTCATAAACAAAGAAGAGCAGCCTTGTCTTGCAGATAAAGAGGCAGCTTGGGAAATCATTAGACCAAAAAAACCCCACAAAACACGGAGAGAAGCCTGTAAGCTAAAGCTTTTGCCTTTTTACCCTGCTTTTTTAAATTCTGCTTTTCAGTATCCCAAATAGGTTGAAGGAATCAAGGCCAAAACTCTCCTTTCTTTTCAGCATCACAACTCTCCCACCTGCATTGCAGCTTTCTGGCATAAACCGCACTTATGACACCCAGAGGTATCAACGAGTGTTCCACCTGTAAAAAAAATTGTATAATATACAACAGAGATGGTTAGGCAGCTGCTGTGTTATAGGCATTGCTTATTACTGTATTTGTAACTGTCTGATGTGAAACTTAGGCCCTAAGTGTCTCATACCGGGCTCTTCCGCTCCATTTATTGTATCAGCCCGTTGTCTCTAATCTTACACTTGGATGAAGAGCACTTTTGGTCAGGAACCTTCTATTTCTTTCCTGTTAAGCGTAATGCCAAATGCAAGGCAGCCCTGCCTCCAATGTTATAAATAAGAAGCAGCTCTGCAAGTAGGGAAGATGCTGTGCTGCAAGCAGAAATTATGCAGTGTGGCTCAAAGATGCAAATACTCATCCTGAAGCAGCTGGAGAGTAATTAAATCAATGGGGAAGACATGCCGGGTAAAAATAAAATAGTCATGATGTGACATGCTGGCAGGTCCACATCACTTAGAATTATTTACTTTTGAGAACCTACCATAACAACAACTATGTATAGAACCATGTATAATGGCAACTAGACACACAAATACATACATACGAGTAAATAGCAATTGCTCAGCCATAACTTGGAGGAAAACAGAAATGGGCAGATTGCATCAAGTATAACTGGATTGAGCTACCTGCTAGATCTGAAACCAGATGTTTCTGATTGAGGTGGGCAGCCTTCTAATAGACGGACGTGGAATATTCTGCCCCTTACACTGGGGCTATCTCATCCTGGGCAATGATGGAGTTTGGTTTAAGCCTGCGGATGAGACTTTCATATCCCTTTCAAAAATGATGTCCTAATTCTTTGTTAGATCCTGGCTTTTCATGATTTATATATGTAAGATATCCAGTTCTATTCTTAATCTTTTGAAATTTCTGGCATCTACAGCTTCCTTTGGGACTAAGTTCACAGCTTAATCGCTCATGGTCTGCGAAAGTATGTCTTGTTATCAATTATTGCCACCTTTCCATTCCACTGAATGAGCTCTTCTGGTCTCCCACACTTCCTCACCCACCTCCTGCAGCCCAGTGGTAGCAGTTTCTGTCTGGTTTTCTCTCTTGGAAAGCTGGAAGTAAGTGCAAGAGGAGTTGAATCCAGGCCTCTGAGCTCCTCAGATTTCACGTAAGGCTCTGGAAAGCTCTAAGTGACTCTTAGGCCGGAGTCGTTGTCCAACAGGTGAAATCCACGCACGTGGTGGCGGTGAAGGTGGCGATCCAGCCAAGCGTTGGCCTCCCGCTGCAGGACCACAGAGGGTATCTGAGGTCCGGGAAGCGGAGCTGGGCACCCTGCCCTCCTACCGTAAAGGTGGGCGTGAGGAGATCTGCTCTCGCTCAGGAAAACAGAGGCGCTGGCTGCAAAACCTCACCCTGGTGATCCGCGTGGGTCTCGGCCCCCACTTCATTCCCAATGAGTTGGAAAACTGATTCCTGTCACCTGTCAAATTTGGACTGGAAGGAGGTATATGCCTGAGGGGTGAATTTGCTGGTTATCGGACCCACTTCAGCAGCGCCCGCTCCGTCTCCTGTGACCTTGCTTAGGCCCTCTCATTCCTATTTGCTCAGTGGCTGCATCCAGCACGTGTCCTTCCCTCTGGCTTCCTGCGAGGGCTGTGAACCTCGCCCTAACAGCTTTGGAGCAGCTTCAGTGCCCTGTGATTACACACTGCGAGGCAGACAAAAGCTCCGGACATCTTACAATTCAAAACATGCTGCTGTGCACTTTTTCCACCCCCCTCCCTTTTGCTTTTGTTGTAACTCACAGGAACAAATTGCCGAAATTAGAAACAGACGTTGAACGGTGGCTCTCCAGTTCTTCAGGAAAAACACAAAACAAGAAAATACAAATGCAAGAAAGTATTATTTTTTGGCAATGTATCTTGATCTATGGTTTTAATCCTCATTTTCTCCATGTACATATTTACTGCTGTGAGTGGAATAATTACTGCTTGGAAATCTTTTATCAGTCCAAAAATGTTGAATGTCTCAATTTTCCAAAAATATGACCCTCAAAAACTGTTTTGATTTTACTTCCGTTAGGAAGATTTAAGTGGAAGATAATAGTAGTGACAAAGAGTGGCATTGCAAGTAACATACCATTGAAAAAGGTTCCAGAATTTTTCTGGAATGGGGGTACAACGTGGGCCATATCACACCTTCAAAGCACACCCTTGCAAGATGGAAGAAGCAGTGCTGAATAGTCTTCCAGCGGGGCTGGAGAGATCAACCTTTCAGTGAAATCACAAACTGCCCTTCGGGTGGCCAGCTGTTTTTTGGCTTTTAGGCTGCTGTATCTTGCTTCCTATGTCTGACTCTCCTGGTCTCTTGCTAGGCCCCAGCACCCGTCCTCCTCCACCACCGATTGCCCACCTGCGATCACGGTAAAGCTGTGGGTTTTAAGCTGTGGCATATTACAGTAACTCAAAAAAAGCCAACCCTCTGTCAGGAGATTTTAGATTTGTGTCTCGGCTGGAAAGTCTGTAGGCTTCTGAACGTAATAAAAGTTAAAACCCAAAGATGTAATTAGCAGATGTTGGATCTCTAGGGTCTCATATCTAAGAGGAGGTTGAAGGAGTCTGAGCTGGTTAGTCAGTAATTAGATACATGGAGATTCAAGACAGTAAAGCCAGCTTGAGTGCAATGCAAGTGCACTCCGACTGATATGCACCCTCTGCAGCATACTTCTACGCTCTTTCCAGTACAAGTCTTGTTTTGAGTGTAAACCAAGTACCGCACAGTAACAGGAGCAGAATGCGAAAAAGAGGAAGGAATTAACAAGAAAAATGAGATTTGAAAGTAGGAGAAAAAGTGATAGCTCTTTAGGGGCTTTTAGAGACTCTAAAACACACTGGCAATATTGCAGTTTCCTTGAAAAGATTCACATCATGCTTTGAAACCTATATACAGTGGCTAGGTTAATCATAAGGAAGCTCACAACTATTTTCTGGAATATTACAGGAGTAGGAGCTATCAAAGTGTTTAATGGCATGAAACCAAGCCAGGGTGAGAGGGCAAGCCATACAGCTACAGAAAGTAAGTTGAAGGAATATTGCACTCCCAAGGAAGCTTGAACTTTTGAAAGACACAGGTTTCATATGAGAATGCAGAAGAAGGAATCTCTTGAAGAATTTTTGGCTGATCTTAAAATAACAAATCAGTCAAGTAGCTATGATGTTTTGAGAGATTCCATTTTAAGGGATCAGATTGGAATCAAAGATCCAAAGATACAGAAAAGATCCCAGGAAGGTAGGATCTAAAGAAAAAAAAAAAGATAGAAGAATCTGTTTAGTCAATCTAGGACAGTCATAAGGGACAGCATGAAAATATCAGAAGGGAAGCAGGACATAGTGTCTATCAGGAAAGGAAACGAGAAGACAGTTTTGAAGAAACTCTTTAGAGCTATCTGCAAGAAGCAGCAAAAGTGAAATATATGAAAATTCACAGATTCACATTATATTAAGGAATTCAGAAATTCCGCAGCAAGACCTTGCAACTGTAAAAGCAGAAACAAAAGAGAATACCCTCCATACCCCCAGATCTATGTGATGGTGCACAAACCAGCAATATGCCAAAATACCCCATAGAAATTCTGTGCAAAAGCTGCAGAAGGTGGCTGCAAAGAATATAAGCACCTCTAAGTTCAAACTGGTGCTCAGTCAATGTTACCTCCAAGCACACTGTAGAATTTTGGCTCAGGAATCTCTACTTATGAAGAAAGACTATTGAAACTGGGGGTGTCTACCGAGAATCTAATTCCTACTAAAGGATTGTATGAACTTAAATTGAAAAGTGAAGATAAAAGCAATAGTTTAAGTTTATAGGGTTTAAGTTTATAGGCAGAAAGAGCTAATATTCATTCTAAAATATGCCTAGCCCTGGGCTTTGTTAAAGCAGTGAGCCTGATGAAGGAAGCATAAACACAGGACATCAGTACCCAGAAATATTTAGTGTTAGAGATAAATTAGACCCAGAATATAAAGCTGTATTTTCACAACAACGTGTGCTGTTAGGAACATTCCTCTGGTCATGAGAGAGATGCTCGTAAAGGAGCTGGATTACGTAGGAGTAATGGTGGGAAGTTTAAAAATAGAAGAGCCAGTTAGCAATAGGAAGATCAAAAGGCAAGTCACTGAGATTGTCCTTACATCCCATGGAGCTAAGTACATGTTTCAGGACAGACACTGTCCTATACAAGATACTTTCAGGTAGAAGGACTGCATATGTTTTTAAAAATATTAACACATTTTCACACAAATTACAAGTTCAGATTCTTCTGCTGGATTCAAGCAATCTTCCTTGCATGACAGGAGTTTGACACTGTGCATGTTTTGGCCACCATACAGGAAATTCTGCTTTCAAAGACTTCCTTTAGGCTTAAAGTTCATTCTTGAGTTTTCACAGGAGCTTGTAGGAAAAGCCATTTTCTTGAAGCAACTGTGGCTACTTCATTAGATATTGAAGATGTTGGGTAGGGAAAAAAAGAGTAGGGAGTCTGACAAAAGTATCCAAGAGGGCCTGAGAAGTAGGATTAGACAGAAATGCAAATGTAAGGGCAGAGAAATAACACAAAATATTAACTGAACACAAGATAAAACAGAGTCATTACAAATATGCCTTCCACAAAGATAACGAGGGTGTCCACAGGTCTGTTAGCATGTGAATGTTACATGAGAGTTCATATAGCACAGGCAATCTGTGAAAGTACCTTTTGAGTTACTACACAAAACGGACATATTGGGCCGCAAATCTGGGAAAAGAATTCCCAAATTAAAGGCATTAAGACAACTTTTAAAACTGTAACACTTCCAAATTAAAGACAAGTCCTGGCCTTACGTATATTGGCACCAGAAGACAGACAGAGTCTTCAAAAGATGGCTTACAGGCAGTATTATTGAGAAAATAATCAAGAAAATGTGTGGCCTGCGTTTCTAGGGCACTTGTCAACACCACGATTCAAGACACAGACTGAGAGAGCAGAGCACCTGCTCTCTGCTCTCTGATTGTAAGAAATGTCACATTTTTGTTTATCGAATGGTTATGTCCAGAGCTGAGACAAACCACTTTGCAGGCAAAAGAAACACCAGCTTCCAGAACATAAAAATAGTGTGACTTTTAGTGTTGGGTTTTTTTAAGTAAAACCATTCAATTTGACAATAAGGTTTAAGTTGGAAAAATAATTACTGATCAAAGACATACTTTCAAGAGCATTCGAGGAGTCTGCTCTTCAGAAAACCACAGAGAGTAACACAACACCCGGAAATACAATTAAGAAAAAAAGAAGTATTATCCTATTTCAGAAGAAAGTGGGCTAAGTTTGATAAGGCTGTGCAGAAGATGACACGATGCAGGAAGTCATGAAGGTTACCACCTGTTGGGTAGTGAGGTCATATGACCATATGACCAATTTGGATCAGAGTTTTCTGTGTTTAGTGGCACACACTACAGAGCTAACAGCATAGTGGTGTAAATGTGTTACGACTTGACGTGCCTCGCAGAACACAGGACACTCACAAAGCTGCTGAAAAATGTGAAAGACAAGACTATATATTGATACCTCAGAACCTGTTGTAAGTATCTGACTTCAGCATTAACCTGAAATTGCATTTCGATTGAATTTAACATCAGAACATGTTATGGCATACATTAATGCTCTACTTTTTTGGGTCCCAGAAATTTTGTCTAGCAATGGTGCCCTTCTTAGCAGCTCAGACCTGAAATGATTTGTAAGGAATGAAGGATATCCAATTATCCTGAATACATTGGTGAGCTGAGTTAAAACTGTTAAAACACGGTTCAAGCAAGCTGGGAAGCTAAGAAGTGATCCATACTTCCACTGAACTTGAGAGGAATATAATTGAAAAATGGTTTCTTGCCAGCTGAAACTTGGTTAAGCAGAGTCCCACTACTCTCAATTTAGTCCATATAACAGCAGAAAATACAACGGGCCTGAAGCTTATAATAAATTGCTAACAACCCACCTAAGTCACATCATAATATAGATTTTTTTTTTAAGGTAGGTCATGCTGTTTGCATACACAGTGGTGTTTTCCTGGACCCTGCGGGCTGTGGGAAAGTTACTCTTTGTTCATATGAAGTGCTAAGTATTGTTCTTGTAAAGACTGGACTTAGAGCTTCTTGAAAACAAATGGAAAACCAAGGATTCCGCAAGGCCGTGAGAGGGAAGGCAGCGCCAGTAACTGCAGCTGAGGCCAGACACCTCTGAGGAGATCCGTGAGAGTCTGTAGAGCTCTGAAAAGACTTACTGAGTATTGCTAAAAAGCATATGAGATTCAGCATGTCCCATGTTAGCCTTATAACAACTGATTGCACGGTGTTCATACGAAGGAGAAAATGTGTGGCTCAGGTGCTGGCTGATTGACGGTGCTTACGAAGGAGCGGAGTGAGCTGGCCTGAGCTGTTAGATCCACAGACAGGCTTGGTGAGAGGCTGAGGCAATGAATCACACTTGATTACGTGGGTTACACTGTTGAACCGTGTCATCACTGTAATAAGCGTGCTGTTCCGCACATCCTGACTCTCGAAAGAACCCAGCTTCCACGTTCTGTACCCTAGGGCTGTCCGAAAGAGCAACCTCAAAGCATATGGAGTGCAGCTGTAGGTATTAATCCAGATCCAGAGTTGTCGGTTTTGCCATAAGGATAGCGTCTTGTAAGTGCCGAATATGCATAGGTAATCTATGTATGTTTGGTAGTCCGCTTCAGGACGTAATTCACAAGTAGTTTAACTTACATTAATCTTAAGTGACTTTGCTGGTTGAAAACATGCAGTAAGTAGAGATGTCTGTACCTGCCTTCTGCTCTCGAGTTAAAATGTGGAGAAGCTTTGGGTTTGGTTTTCCAAAGTTTGGTTCAAAAGGTCCCTGATATCAGTGAAATATAAGTGATGAGATAAAGTGGAAGAGACAAGATTTTCAGGCCTGGATTTAATCATGTGTAAGAAATTATAAATATATTTGAGAGTTTTTAAGGTGCTGACCCAAAGTCCACATGAATGAGCAAAAGTTGTGCTCTTCTTCCCATGGGCATGGATCAGGTCCTGCGCTGCTCCGGGTTTTGCTCAGGTCTAACTCTTTTTGTTGAAATAGTTCTTACAATGTCAAAGTTTCAGGAGCCTCGAATTGCAGAAAGTACGCTGGCAAACCCTTATCATTTTAACAGCTGTACTAAATATTTTGCAACTCTGATCAGCACAGGCTGCAAAAGAGAAAACGATGTTTTGTAGCTGCAGTTCTGAACGGGGAGAGGAGCCAGTTAATCACCCAAGGATCATTTGTTTACAATGGGCAGCATGACCCATGCAACTCCATATGTGAAATAAAGGGGAGGGATGTTGGGTTTGAGGTTTATCTGTGAACAATTTGGCAGTCTTTAAATAAATTATATGAACTTACCACACACAAATAACCTCAACATCTTTCTCTGCTATTTTGTATATTTGTTTGTATCCTTTTTATCTGATTTAACAAAGGAGCTAAAATAAACATCTGCTCTCTTTTAGGGACAAATTTAGGGATTACTTCCAAGATTTCAATAAGGCCTTTCATAAAGTGGATAAAAACAGAGATGGCTATGTAACAGTATGTGACCTGCACAGGATACTAGAAGAATTCAACTATTACCTTGATCATGATCAGTTCAACAGTCTTCTAAACAGGTTTGTATGATTATCATCTCCTAAACATCTCTCTGCTCACACCCAGCAAAGTCTAAGTTTGTACCTTGTGTTAAGCACATAAGAAGCTCTGTTAAAACCAATGGAGATAGAACCCACATGCTTAAAACTGCATATGAGTGAAAAATCTTTTTAGGTAATGTATTGATTCTGTAGGTAATGAAAGTGAAGTTGTTTCTTACCTAAAAAAAATATGCTTTGAGTATGTGTATTTGTTTTCTAGTTTGTTTTGTTTATTTATTTCAATTTAATAGAGCAAGTATGTGAAACTTCAAAATAAAAATAGAACTAAATCAGGTTATAAAATAGCAATATTTTTCAAATTATCCAATGCTGCTTCTATGCAAAACCATGCTTTTAATCCTCTGTGTTAATATGAGTAAGAAGAAAAATCTCTTTTGTAGAGGCTGAAGAACACAAAGGACCTGCTCCAACATTAGGTACCGCGGTTTTCTGCACCAAACAGTCCCCCAAAGGTCATATGCCTGGCAGCACTGGGTTTTGTTCTCTAGAGCCTGCCAGACCAGACCCGTTTTTGAAATAAAATTAACAAAGTCTTTTCACAGTTCACCTTTAATTGGGTGATCAACTTTTTATGAATTGAAACCTTAATAGGAATCTGCTGCTTGTTTCTTTCTCAAAGACCTCTTGATGATAAACACCTCCATTCATTGTAATTTTGTGCAGATTATTCCTTTCTTGATCCAAAATAGTCTTTTCTAAATAATACAGACTAGATTAGCATATGCATTTAGTTTTATTACTAAAATTTTAATGCCCACTTGGCAATTTATTTCTCCAGTGAAATGGTGTTGATTATTTCCTTTTCCACACACTGTCTCCAATATTGGAGCCAGCTTGACACGGGTAGTATGTGGGAGTGCTGTGCAGCTGCAAGATGCAAAATCAGGGCTCTTGAATAATTTTTTTCTTACTAGCAGATATGGGGTCTATAGTTAATTTCTTTTCCAGCCTGTTTTATAAAGCTTCCTCTTTGTTTTACTGCCTTTCCCCATTAATTAGACATTCTTGTAACTGGATATTCTGGTGATTGGTAGCTGAGGCATTGGTCCCCCGTGATTTACTGTGGAAACAGATGATAAAAGTACGTTACAGTAATTCAGTTTTAAACAAGAAAATCAGAGTTGTGTAGTGGGGCCATCTCCTCTGTCAAGTCTTGGCTTCTAGGACTTACCTTGACTGTAATTCTAACAAAAAAACTGAATGCAAGACTAAAAAATCCAATCTTTCCCCTGCGGCATAAGAATTGTCTACCTAATACATGTGTATAAAGAATCTGTAGTTCTGATAATTGGCTATAAAATCATTAAAGTCTATTAGAAACCTCTCCATAGATGGTAACTCTAAGGTCAACCTGGAATAATTCCATGGGAGCCAATGCATCTGCATCAAAAACACCTAATGTGTCCTGTAGTCTGGAGACTCTCTGATAGTCTTTCAACGGTAGGAAATGCCATATACTGACTGTACTGGCTTTATACTGGGTAAGCGAGAGCAGAGCAAGCCCCTGCTGTTGTATCCCTTGTGGTGATGAACTCTACGGGCTCATTAGACAGGTTTGAAATCCTTGTTTAAAACGTACCAGGTGCTTTTTCATTAAGCGGTCACAAGTCACAGGACATTGGAGGAAAGTCGCTTTCCATGTAATAATTAGTGGTATTAATCTCATTTTAATCTTTCATGTTAAATAACATTTATTTTCATATATTTTCTGCATATGTGAAGCTTTCATTGATTCCAGTCTTTTTATGGTAAAACATCTTTGAATAAAAATTAATATAATTTGGTAACAAAGTCCTCTGCAAAAAAAAAAAAAAATTCCTAAATCATATGCAAGAGCTCATTTTTCCCCATGCTGATACTTGATGCAAAAATATATTCACTGTTGTTACCTGGAGCTATCTGTAGTCAGCTCTGTAACCCACTGAATTTCCAACGTGACAGAACATGAAATTCCCCAGTGTCTGTGATCCAGCAGATGTTTCAGCTGACAGACAGAAATTCGGCAAGTTGCGCGTGCAGTCTGCAGAGCCCGCGGGCTGGGCTCCCAGGTACAGCCTGACCACAAATGATCAGAAGAGAAGCCCTCACTGGACATAGCATGCCACCAGTCAGCAGCAGCGGCTGCTGGGCCAAAATGTGCCAGCCCTCTGTGCAGCTCTGTGGACACACCAAAGGAGGGAGGGCCAGTGCCTGAGACACAGTGAGGCTGAGTCCTGCCAAGAACCTGTAAAATGGTTCTCTAGTGGCCTGCCAAACCACGCAGAGTGAAGTACAGGCGGAGAGGGAAGGTAAGCCTTTCTACCACAAACGTAAGTTGGAGTGTTGTATGGAACCGGGTTTGGTTTCCTCCCATGTGGTAGAGAAATCCTGAGTACAGACCTGTGCTGGTACTATCATGAAACGTATCACAGAGCGGTACTGGATGTCCTAGCTTGTGTCTGGTGACAGCTTACCAGGCTGCATGTGGTTCTGCTTCTTCCTCCCAGCATTGTAATGATCACGACATATTGGGAGGCTTAAGCAGCACTTCAACATCTGCAAGTCAAAGGTATTTTGCAGAAAGTCCAGGGGAAGTACCAGCACTTAGCGCAAGGAGCATCTCCTTCTCAACAGGGTCTGTTAGACTGTGTTTACACTGTGACATGAAAAGGAGATTCAAGGGCAAGGTTGGGAGCCAACATGTCCTCCAGCCACAGTGGGGATGGTAAGCTCAGCAGTAGGTTGTGATTAAAATACCATGCTGTGCTTAAAAAGCACAAAATTAATGCTGATGGACTGGAAGGTTGTGCACCTGGGCCCAGGCTAAAGCAGGTCTCCTCTTGAGCATCTCAAGATTGGTCTGGATCTGCATCTGAGTGTGTGGTTGCGTCTATTTGATCAGATTGGTGGCTTAGACCTGAGAAGGAGCTTGCGCTGGAACTAACAGGATTTATACACTGACAGCAGAAGCATATCCTGAAGTGCTGCTGTGGTACAAATAATACATCATAATAATTAATCAGCACAGACAACAGTGAGATAATTATTTAAAATCATTGATATCTCAGTCTGTGTTTTTCCCGTAGCTTAGGAATCAGCATTCATGACAGCAAGCTCTCTTTTGATTTCCTGAGAGCAACTGATGATGGCAGAGCATCTAAATACCAACAGAGACAAAAGCAGGCTGCACCACCTGCAAGCTTTGCAGCACTCAGCTTAGAACAGACCCTAATTAAGATAAAAGAAATAGTTGCATCATCTTATGATTTGTTGTACAAGGTAAGTTTCATGTCACTGCATCTTATTTAATCTCTATTTTTTTTCTGCCTGGCTGGGGAATACCCCAAAGGCTTCAAAACTTTTCTGCTATTAATTGAGTGCTACCAACAACTTTGGCCTGTGTAGAAATAGCATCTTCTAACAAAATAACATCTTCTAACAACTGCAGACTCTTTAATTAATTGTATTCTGGTAACTCCACAAAACAAGCTTATCAAATCAAGCCTAGAGCTTTTGTGAAGATAAGAATTGGAAAGGAAAAAGCGAATAGCAAATGATCAGGACTGTCCTCCCTTCCCCAACCCTCTTTCCCCCTCCAGTTGTCTGTAAACCATGTCCCAGGCGTGTTAAATATCACGTGTCTTTCCAATCGCTCTGCTGAGTTTCCTAAAGCCAAGAGTTATTATACGTACATGTAACGCACTACCACAGGCAGGCATTATGGTTTTATCAGCATGAGATGAAAGGCTCGTGTAGCAACGGAGGATACCGACGCACGATCAGATGTGAGCCCATGGTAGCGGCTGCAGAAGTTAGCGCCTGTCAGCCGGGCCTCTGCGACTATCTGCATCGATGCTCTTGGCCCCTTCTGATTCTGACAGAGACAGACAAGGTGCATTAGCTGTCGAGCAGCCAGTTTCCTGGTTTTCCCCCCTGTAAAATTAGAACAATAAAAAAACCCACTTCCCTCTAGAATTTTGAAAGCTCTGAATGAAAAAATGCTGTATATTAAGTAGTCTTAGACTGTTGTGTCAGAGTCTACTGAAATGCAGCAGCCTCTAGAGTAAGTAATTCTTGATGCCATAGTAAGATTGTTTTCAACCATGGGAAAGAATAATCAAAAAGACCTTGAAGGAAACATTCCTATCACAAAGAACTGTAGAACCATCTTATCTGGACCTGCAGTTTCAGGTCCAGTTTAAGCTCATGGTTTTAGAGGCAGGCTTATTGCCTGCAAAGATGGTCTCGCTACCCCTGTATCCCCAGCAACGTGGTCCTCCTGCCCTGCCTTGCGTCAAAACCAGTACTTGTCTTCCTGCCCAATGACCTGGGTCAGGGAACTTCGACCTGACAAAAGCCTGATCAGTTGTGCGTGGCTGTGGGAGAGCTGCTGCCCGCACTGGAGAGGGGAAGGGAAATGTGGCTGGGAAGACGATGGGGGTAGAAATTCCCTGGCCACATTTCTGAAATCTCAATCTGTGGACTCTGTCCTGCAGTTAAAAATAACGTAGGCTTCCAACAAAGACATCGCTAGTGATGACACCAGTACAAGCACCCAAAAAAAAAGTAGTACCATGGGAGATGATGGTTTTTTTTACAGAAATCTCTTTCCGCGCTTTCTGGAGACTCCTACCATGCTTGTAACCTTATTGGGGCCATGTAGCCATTTTTGGCCAGATAGACTAAGTATTGAACAGAATACTGAAATATTTATATAATCACTATACATTTTTCATAGTAAGGGGAAAAAAAATCCTTCCTGTGCTCTGCATTATTGAAATAAGAAATAGATGAATACAATATCACAGGTTAGCATTTGTTAAATTTCAATAGAAGACAATATCTGTCCTCTCATCTCTGGGTGTCTTGGGCATGGAGAAGGTCACTGTTTTGTCTGCTGAAGGTATGATTTGAAAATTACTTTTGGCATGAACAAATCACCCATTTAGTCTTTTAGGATACCATTTGGTGGTTAATATAACTTCAGGGACCAAGGTATTTTCTCCAGAGAGAGCCAGAGTCTGTCTACCATGCGATGGAAAAGCAGAACTTTTTCTCATTTCCTTTATGTGAGAAAATAAGAAAGTTCTCCCTTTCCTGAGCCATTTTTGAGTAACAGTTGTTGCCACCTTTGTGATGGGTGACTCTACCAACGTAAGTTTGTTTATAACCAAATATTTTGTTGTAAAGAGGCAGGTCGGAAAGCACAGTTCCTAGAGTCCAGCTAGTTGAGAGGAAAAAAAAATCATCACATCGCATCCTTGACATTTCTACAGCTGAATACAGACCTTTGAAGTTTCAAAACAAATAGCTTAAGAGTTCAGGTGTGTCATCTCTGTCAGTATAATAATTTCCCATTCTTTTTCACCATACTCAATATAATGCATACTTACATGCTTTGTTTTTCCCATAAGACTTTCAGTACATAAACAAAGATCAAATTTTCTTATTAAGAAGTTACAGAATCCTCTTTAATGTTCAAAGGATTCCTTTCTAATGTCCTTTGGATGTGGTAGCATTTGTTTTGCCACTAGGCATGGTTCATGTACATAAAAAAATATATTCTTAAACCCATTATTTAGAACAGTTCTAATGGTAAAACATAAAAATTGCTGTATTTCACCAGTATGCTATAGTGTTAGCAGACTAATAGGACTTTAACCTAAACTTTTGAAAGGTCTAATATTCATTTACCTTTATGAAATCAGTGGTTTATATGTGCAGCATCACAAATAAGAGGCAGAATAAAACAAAGGTGCATAGTAAGTTAGCAGCATCCAGGCAGAATGAGAGTGGATACGACCCACAACTTTTCTAGACCTCGGTATTTCTGCCACTCATTTTAACTACTCTTTTGCATGCCTCCTGCTGCAACTGTGCTAAACCTCATCTGTTTCCCCTGGGAAACCTTTGGAAAACTCCCATGAAGAATAGGCAGGGTATTTTGTGCAAGGCAGGACGAGCTGAAGCTAATGAGGATGAAGGACTATCGAGTCCTTTAGAGAGCAGGAAACAAACTTACCCTGCCAGAGACAATCATTGAGGGGACGGAATGGGACAAAAGGCAAATTAAATATGCTCAGGTGAGCTTAGTTAAAAGTATTTTAATTTCAATTGTTTAAAGCAGCCCACAAATATTTTTGTTTGTTTCCTCTCTTGTCTTAACTACTACCTTTTCTGGGACTTTTGTATACTTGATATAATGCCTTTTTGCTTTTATTGTAGGTAGTAGATTATTTCCATATTTATATTTACATGTGGCACAGAAATGCAGGCTATTTTTGGCTTCTTTCAACAATTGCATCTCATTTTTAAAAGAAAAGAAAGCTTCAAACTAAGTAAGGTTCTGAGAAATGTGTTTTGTTTCTTCATGTGTAAAGTACCTGCAAGAGGCATATGGTTCTTAGGTATTTCTGTAGAAATACCTAAACTAACTGCTAAATAGTTGCTAAAAAAGAATTCTCTTTTGGAATGTCTAGGTTTGCTTAAATAATTTGAATTCTTGTTTCTCAGGTATTTTCTCTATTTGATAAAGAAGACACTAGAGTAATTAAAGCACTGGAATTTCACGGAGTACTTGACCACTTCTGCTTTCAATTATCAGAAAAGCAATTCAGGCACCTTCTCAAAACCTTAACATTTGTGAGGACGTCACAGTAGACTGGAAAGTTTTCCTGAAAAACATAAGCCACCTCATAGAGGTAAGAAGAGCTACCAGGCTATAACATATTTCTCTAAAAGAAAAGATCTGTGTTAGACGTGACTGACTAACTAACGAAGCAAGACGTGACTGACTAACTAACGAAGCATGCTAAGTTCACATGTCTTTCTGTTGACCTCTGTTGAGCTCCAGGAAGCCCTTATCTCCTTACAAACTGCTCTCAGAAGTTAAGTCTTGCATTCACATAGATTTAGATCTGTACATGTGGCAAGCTGAAAGCATGACCACGGACGGATACAGCCAGATTGCCCCAACTGGGCGACATAGGATGTGGGACATCCAAATATGCCCAGTGATCCCTGAACTGTCTAAATGTCTGGCAGGGGCTGGAGAGAAAAATGAGTGGAGTGGGAAGCCCACCAAGTTCTTGGTGTCAAACAATAATAGCAGTGTAGATGTAACAGGAAGGTCAAATGCAGAGATTAGTCAAGAACAGAGAAAATCTTAACTGCAGTCACGGACAGAGTCTTCTGATGTTTTGAATATGCATGTTGTAACAACTCAGACCAGAGCTGCTGTTTCTCTGTGGCAGAGGTTTGTGTCTACAGGGCTTCGCTCAGACTTGTCCACTTGGTGCAGACTGCCGGAACAGATCCTTCCGTTCATAATCACATCCTTTTATCAATGCAGCAGTCCTTATCATATTTGTAAATAAAAGGACCATTATCAAAAGGTGTAAGTAAAAGAAGTCTCTGTCCTATTTTAATTTCACAGTCCATCTCTTTCCTCTAGCGTCTCTCCTCTTAGTCCGCCTTACCCTGCAGGAAGCAGGTGTAAGTAGATCTGAGGGTACAGGAGTCTAAATGACACTACCTTACAGTTCTTACCTGAACTTGGCTAAGGATGGGAAAGCTAGCTACTAGCTAGATAAAAAGCAGTCCTGGGAAAAAAAAAAAAGTTAGGTATTAACTTGCATCTTATGTTCTAAGAAGTAACTGTTTAATTTTCAAAAGTATATGCTCGAAGCACAAATAAAATGAGAAAAATAATAATCATCACCCAATGGAAAACCATATAAAAAGCCTACTACTTTATTGCCATGGCGATAATAGAATGTTGTGCTAAACAAATAGAGCTACACAGTGATTAAATCTTGTGTCATGAAGTAGAAGCTGGAAAACCAGTGAGATCTGTCTCAGGTTCTTCAGGCCCCTAGTCAGTCTTGTCAGGCTTCAAATAATCGCAGGACTCGAGTGATTTTCACAAAAGGAGGAGGAGGGACCGCAGGTTTCAAATGAAGGAGGACCCATAAACTGCTCCAAAGGCTTGTAATGTGCTATAGGCTTTTGTAGTGGGTTAGAGACTTTATCTGTGTGTGGCAGTTACCAACAGGCATTGCTCTACCAAAGTGCTTATTATAAGTGTAGCTTTATTCAAAATTTTATAAGGTTGCTTAAATGTATTTTATTCTCTGTAAATTTAACATTAATATTTATAGTAGTGCAACTGTTACTTTGTCCTTAGTGGCAGGACTACATTTAATTATAGTTATTTAAAAAATAGTTGGGGATTTTAAAATATTTACATTTTCAGCTTATGAAAATTAAAATGCAGTCTTAACAGATATAATAGATTACATGGTTCTCAAGTGTAAAACAATGAAATACTTTGTATTAGATTAGAAAATGCTGCATTTCCCCTTTCCTGCTTTTATGCTGATATAAATGCAGTAAGTTTCAACTGAGTCATACCAGTACAAAGACCAATTGTATGAAATATAGCATATCTGTATAATTATTTTAAGAATGTATTTGTGTGCTGTAATACTGACCCACCAGCAAGATTATGTGTTAATTTTAGAATAGGTAGCTGCTTTTGTTAGGGAAGGTTTTGCTGTAATGTCTTCTCATCCTCCAGGTAGGTGTTAAGCCTCCTTAACAACTTGACAAGCTGCACACTCCTGGGATCAAACTCTGCAGGAGTGTCCGTTTTAACATGAAGTCTCTTTAACAGTTAGTCCTTTAAAACCCCAAATACTTTCCACCTCAACTTAGCAAAAAATTAAGCTACCTCCACCTCTTTCAGGAGGTACTCGGTCCATGACAGGACTGGAGTCTGTAGTGCTTTTTTCAATATTGAGCATTCACCTTGAACAGTTTTCTGTGTTGTGTTAGGGGTAGAAGGGATAAATCCATCATTAAAATCCCAAATTAATCCACAAGGGAACATTTTTGAAAAGACAAAACAAATACAAACCAGGTTCACAGTGCTGGTTCAGCTTCCAGATGCTCTCAAATCTCATATTTTCATTTTGGGTTCAACCCAAAATTTCCCATGCCTTTGCAATTTCATCCCACCCCGGGTTCACACGTATTCCTGGGCTCCTGTGCAGGTTCTGAGAGAAGGCTGGTTGTTAAATTATTCACTTCATCCAAACACGCTACAATTTTGGCCTGTAAAGTGTGTATCTAAATTAATGAGGTATGCAACTCATTCAGGCACGTTAAGAAAACTGATCATTACGCTATACAATTTGATCACTGAAGTATATTAAAAAGTAACAAGTAAAGTATGCAGCTTGATCATTAAAGTATGGAAAATTTACTGAACTAGCCTGGGATGACTTTTGTCTCAAATGGCACCTCATAAATAAAACCCACAACCACAAAGGCAAACATTCACAAACCCAAAGGCCATACAGGTTTAAGTTGTATTTTTTCCTTAGAAAACAGCTGAATAAGGGGAGATGAAAAAAACTCTTGTGGAAATTACTTCTAAATGTTTTATGTGTCACATGGATCTTTTGATGGCTTTGACATATGTTGATGAGCTTTACATTCTGATTAACTCTCTAGCATACACATTACGGCATCTGTATATGAGCAGGATGACCACTGAAATACAGCTCTGTAGAGCTGTAGGGCTATACTATACAAAAATAGAATTAAAGAAATCTAAAGTATTTTAAGCAATATGATTACAGCTTAATATTCAGGTAAGAAAGAACCATGGCTATGGCACTTAGCTTGGATGTTGCTAACCAACTGCAGAAGACCTGAGGAAGGAGACAGAGAGGACATTGTTTCAGGTGGGATGCTATTAACCACCGGTGCACTCTCTGAGGATATTCGTAAAAGTCCAGACTCTGGAAGTCCAGACATCAGGAACTTTTCTTGGCTGGCCTGCCAGCCTTCTGATTAATAAGGCCTGGTTGGAGCTATTCGGCATTAAAATAATTGGCTAATGCAGTCTGGCCTGATGAAAGCTGCAGCTGGGAATCAGATTCCCCCAAAAGAGAATGCACCCACGTGTCCTTCCCCACTGGGAGCTATCTCAGACGTGGGAAGGGAAAAAGTAAAGAAGGTGCTAAAAGCGACAGTTCAGGGTGTGCTGGTCAGGTCTAGAACAGCAAGGTGTCCATACAGAATCAGCACAGCTGCCTATAGGGAGGAATATATAGGGAAAGGAGGGATTATGATCAGGGCCAAACAAATTGTTGTTTAGCCTTCCTGGAGCTGCGACTGCTGAATGATATGCTGCAAGCTTAGTAAACCTTCACCTGTCCAGCCCAGCAGTGAGGAGAAAGAGGACAAGGCAGGTTGAGGAGATGACAGAGAGAAGGGACAGGTTACCACTTGTGCCCGTTCAAGGGCAGGAACTGAGCTAACTAGGGGTTTGCTGACAACGTGTCTTTCAGCTGACAAAGAGAATTACTGGAATGAGTAGACATATATTCAGCAAAGCCTTTTTTAAAAAAACATTATTTCATCTAAAATGATGACATTTGGAAATCAGATTGACTTCCAGGACTTATTCGCAGAAAAATTTGCAGAACATTTCAATATCAGATCAGGCATTTGATTTAGTTTTGTCCTGAACTTTGTTTCCACTCTAAATTCTCCATTTTCATGTTAGCTTCCTGTTCTGAGTTTCTCTGCAGTCTGTCTCATGCTGCAGAGTGCCTTCTTCACCAGCTGAGTGCATTTTGTTTTCAGCCAGTTCCATCTGATCTACCTGTCTGCAAAACTGCAGGCTTGTTTCTTCATCCTTGATGCTCTTCCTGCCAGAGAAAGCATCCTGCTTCTTTTTGGACCAGTACCTGTGAGAGGATTCCCCCACTATAGCAAGTTCATGTCTGTTCTTGAAGACTGGCACTGTGAGAACCCTACCTCCAGATCCCAGGACTGGGGTCCAGGACTAGTTTCCACTATTTGAAAAGCACGGGGTATGTCATTACTGCCTCCGTCTTTGTTGGGCATGCTGCTGGTGGAAAATCTACAGAGCTAAAGCCTCTTGCTCTCACATCACATCGCTCTCCGCAGTGGCTGCTACAACCCCTTCCTGGAAAATGCAAACTAACCAGTTTCCTTGTGGTCTTGGAAACTATTCCTAAATCAACAGGGGACAGCACTGACATAGCTTACCAGCTCCATGAATGGAGGGTGGCTGTGCTGTGACTCCCCAAACACTGATTTACCTGCAAGTGATGAAATGCACTGAGTGCAATGCTACGGCATATCTGTTGTAACCATACAGTTTTGGGGCTCAAAAAACCCATGCAACAAAGAAGTGACACCCTCAAGTCTTTCCACAACATTGCTTCCTAAATTCATCAGTGTTACTAAGCCAGCCCTTGTGCGTTGTGTTCAGGCATGGGGAGCTGAAGTTCATTTTGCTGCCATGACCTACCTGTGAAATTGTGCCAGGAATACGTAAGGACTTACTTTAAGGAGGTAGTGCTTTTCCCTGTTTTGGGGGTGGGATTTTTACAGGTTTATTCATTACTCTCTGTCCTCATCTGTTGAACCTCTGGACCCTCCTGTTCTGGGCCATTGATTTGATCAGACAACTGACCCATCAGTTACGACCCCGTGCCCAGCAGCAGAGATTAACAGGCCTGCTGATTATGTCCCTGCCCTCAGTCAGCAGCACCACAATCTCTGTCTGTCAGCTGTGCTCCAGGGAAATACCCCTTCTGGGATATGTCCCTGTTTGTGTCTACTTTCCAGTATTACATCTGCTTCAGGATGAGAAATGTCAAAGCTTTCCTTATGCCATGATCTAGCTCCAAGTTTCTCTTTATCCTTAGAGAAACTGTTTTGAAAATTCCCCTTCCTTGCCCCTGATCTCCTGTGCAGTGCCCTCCCCATGACTACAATGTGTTGTCCCTCCCTGTACCAGGGTAACTGTTTTGAGATCTTTCCCCACAGACAAGTCTGCCAAAGTTGTACCTCCCTTCCCCTCTCTCTTCTGAGTAATGAAGAAAAGGATCTAATGGAATTTTAAAATGGAAAATTGTTCCTTGGGATGGAAGCTTTTCACTCTATATTTACTAAGAGAGGAGGCAAAGGAGAAAATAGGGATTAGGGAAAGTAGGAAACACAGTGTTAGGCCACCAGACCTACTGCTGATGGTCTAGACACGGCTGGGGAGACCGAGGAGTAGGGAAGCCTCAATGCTTCTCTACCCAGTTCTACCTGGGCTTAATATTTCATAGTTATTTAATACAATAGTTATTTTAATTACATTTAGAGGAATATGGCATTTTTCTAGACAAGGCAGAGATTGGCAAGTGGAACCACCTTTGATTCGTTGTGTTAAATCTTTTTGGCAAACCATTGTATATAATTACAGATTCTAAACACTACTATCCTGGAAATGCGACCTCAAAACTTGAATCTGCCTGTTGCAAGCAGTTGGTCAAAAGGAAAATGGTACATTACAAAATGACCCTCACTGGCGTTTTCATCTTTTATTTATAATTGGGTTTATTATTGCAAGCTCCTGTTGCACACCAGCTATCAAATCCTCAGCAGACGTAAATCAGCACTCAGGTTAATGGAGCTGATCGCTGCCAGATGAGGATACAGCTCTACTTGTAACTCAGGGATAAAATACAAGCTTCTCTATAGTGCTGAGACTCTGAAAGCTAGGATGGGCTGGCTGGTGAATTACTGGTTGTCTGAACAGAAGAAGAAAACGCATTTCCACCCCAATCCACGCTTAGGCAACTAACTCTGCTGCTTCTGCACATCTTTAGGGAAAAGCATTTATGGAAAACAACTTGAAGGTATGTGTTGTTAGGGTAAAGGAGGGCCCATGGGCTACGCACAGAAGCCTCTAAAACTGTGTAAGCTGTCAAAAGGATGATTACTTCTGGCAAAGGTCATTCTCATGTACAAAGAGGAAAATGCATCCTTTTTCAGGGGAAGACACAAGGGCCTTCTTGTGTAAGTTGTTTCCCAAGACCTTTGGTTTCTGAACCTCCCCAGAAAGGGAGAGAGGTCAGACTTGTGACAGGGCAGGGAACAGGACCAGAGAAATTGTAATTTGTCTTGATGTACTGATTTACTTTCTAATTAAGAATTCCTCTTAATAGAAAAATCTTCCAGAAACAGGAAGGAGCTGCAGGAACGGAGTTTCACTGAGCAGGTGTGGGTGGCAGAGCCTTCTTTTATTACTAATCAGCATAGTTATGCCATTTATAGAAAAGGACATGAGGCTGCGCAAGGAACTTTCTAAAGAAGAAAAATATAGCCCTGCTTTGAACAGCAAGCAAGTTACATAGGGTGGCCCATAAGAAAAGCCTCGTTAATAATGCCCCCCCTCCCTTGGTGAAAGCAGGAGGTGAAAGTGGATTTATGTGGTCCTCCCATGGCGCTCTCAAATTCTGTTAGGAAGGGCGAGAAAGCCTGTGAAGAGCTGAGCAGGGCAGTCAGGTAACCTGGACTTCCCAGCCTACGGCGGCAGCTGGCATTTGGCCGCGGTGCGGGGCAGGTGCCGCTCGGCGGCCAGGCGGTAGTGGAACCGAAGCAGGCTGCGGAGTCCTGGCCCCTGAATTCTGAAGTGGTATACCTGCAGAGGTTGATGGGATGAGTGGAGCACGTGGCAGCGAATGTCAGAAAATCAGCTAAAAGGGAAATAACCCCTTTTTCGTCCAACAGAAATTCTTCTATAAATGGTCTGTAAGCACTGCTAGGGCGCTGCACAGCTCTGAGACAGCTTCATTCCTGTTGCTCCCTTCCAAAGGTGAAGCGAGTCACAGCAAAGCTAAGAAATGTACCCACACTGCTTATAAGGTTAGTTTCAAATGGAGAAATGGCACTTAAATGTCCGGATGCCTGAGCCGGAGTCTGAGATTTTAGGCTCCAGCTCCGTTATTTCAGCTAAAGGTGATTCTTTTAGCTGCAGATGATAGTCATAGATACACACTGAATGTACTAACTGCATGTGGTAGATGAATGTAATGCAATAGCTGAATATAAAAGATTTTCTAGTTTTCAATCTGTGGATTGCAATAAAAGCAAGTGATTTATTTTTTTATTGGCTCTCCAACCATTTTAAGATCAAAGTGTACTAGGTCTTATGAAATAAACAAAAAAATCTTTAAATTAAATAAATTAGGAAAGTTTGCGCTTACAAAACATGTTTCTTTAAAAGGTTGCAGGGCAGTAACACTTTCCCTAAGTCTTTGGCTTCATTAAAATGATTAAAAGCAGCGGTACAGCGCTTTTTAGTTGCAGTCATGTCAGGCAGGCAGGAGGTGTGCCCGGCGCTGGACCGCGCCTGGCAATCTTCATTTCCTGACTACAACAGGGACGGGCTTCTGCGTCTGCATCCGTGATTCCACTTCTCGTATTTCTTTTCTTACTAATAATGCAGCCATAAATCCTGTCCTGCATGTATGTTTTATGTAAAGCATGGTTAATATTGAAAAGTGTTATTTGCATCTGAAGATAGCAGAGTCTTTTCTGATTAGGAGGCAGGTTTCTTGCAGTTCTGTAAGAAACATATTTTCTTTTCCATCCAGTTATAATGATCATGTGAGACGTGACAAGGAAACAGGAGCTCAGGACCAAAAGCCATCTGTTTCTTTTTTGGTATTTCATATTGCATGGAGCAAGAAGGTGGCAAAGCTTATATGCTTAAACATAGGGGTATAAAATATGACAGTAACATTTAATATGTTGTAAAGAAATGTATTTGAACCAAAACCAGATTTATTTATTTTTGGTTTTACCAGGATCTCTTACCGCAGCTACAGTAAAACTGGCTGCCAATTGTGTTTGTGAAAACTTTGCTTTCAAGATATTTTACATATTTAGTTTAGACAGTGCAGTGGGTGGGAAGTCTGCTTCCATTCCTGAAAATAAGTAGTTTCTTCAAAATTCTGGTACTGCTTTTTAAAATTATTATTGTTATTCCACATTGTGCCATTCCTGAGAATGATTTTGTAAGTAAAACTTGGTTTTATTTTAAAAACTGAAGTTTATTGCTAATTCTGGAGGCAGAATGTAAATGTTGAATAGAGTTCATTGATATTTTATTTTATGAAATGCAGGCTTTTGCAAGCACAGTTAGACTTTTGGTATTCTCAAGTATGTCCATATCAAAGCCTAGCAGTGCTTTACTCTGCAGTTTATTCCAACCAACTGTATTTTGTCCTTTTTATTTCTGCTTGCCGTATAACCTTCTACTGTATTTACTCAAAGTGTGGATTTTCCACCCTGCTGAATGCATAATTTAGTTAGCATAAGCTCCAGTGGCAGATTTTAGAAGCCGTACGCTGCTGTTAGATTTGAAAGCAACACACTGAAAGAAGGGGTTTGTGCACATCTTGTGCTAGCATTAACACACTTGTACCCAACCCCTCCTCTGCTGTCCTTTCACACATCCTGTACCTTTGCAGCCTTCAATTGCATCATTTAGCTGTCGCATCCCTTCTGTGGATGACCAGACTAAAAAGTATCGCCGTAAATATACCTGGAACTTAGAAAGGAAAGGGAAATAATTGCCCTCTCTTTCATCTCAGGACTGAAGTGCCTTTTCAATCAAAGAGATTTCCACTGCTTGCTAAAGACTATTCAGATGAGAAGAATACATTTGGGATATTTGGGCTAGTTAGCGTTCGCTTCCCTTTTTTCTGCATTAACAGAATAGCCCTCTTTGTAAGATCACCCAATTTTTTAGACCTTTGTAAAAGTTTAGGTCAGTCTTAGAATCCTGTGCTTTTGTTGGCCTGTCACCAGTTGGATCACATTTATAGAGGGTCTATTTTTTCCCTTTAACTACTTGCATAGCCCCTTTTCTCTTTTGTGGTGCAAGCCAGAATTCCTGGAAGCGGGTTTTACTGCCTGCAGGATCTCGAAGGCCGCCTTCTCCATGGACATTTCCCTCTTTGACTGGCTGAATGCCACACCGCGATTTATAATTTATTCAGTGGATCCATTACAGATTCTCTGTGTATGTTTCTTGTCTAGACTGGTGAAGGGCAAAAAGTCATTCCACCTAAATCTTCTTGGGAGCTGTCAGAGAGAGGCATCCTCTTGCAGATACAAGACGTAGTGACTGCTGGCTTTAACACAATTGCACGAGAGTTTAAAGACATTGACTCTTCAAAAGATAAGACAGTATCAAAAGGCGGGTTCTGGGATATATGTAATCGCCATTTGCAGTGGTTGACTGAAGATCAAGTAAGAAAACTATGTTATTTTCTCTTGTTAATTTAAGTGTACAACTGGGTAAATTGGCTATGGCTGGAGACATGTGGTTTGCATACTGTTGTGTATAGGCAAGTAGTTTAAAAATTTGGATGAAATTAAAATGTTTTAAGACTATCATTCCATGAACATTTGTTGCTACATTTGTGGGAGATTATTTTTTTCCTTATTTCTGAGTATGGTTGTGAACTATAAAATCGCAGGCTTTCTAAAGCAAAGTCACGGCGATGCTATTGCTAATAGGAAAGGTGTGACTTTAAAGCACAGTAGTTCTCTTTCACTAGCTCTTTATCTGTATATTTTGCCATTTTAAAAGTTGGTTTTTTCAGATTTAAGTTAATCCACTTCCAGTTGATAGGAGAAAAAAGCCTTCTCAGCATGGAATAAAAAGTATTTCCATGGGAAGCTAATGCAAATTTCTTTTTCTTAGCAGCTATTTTGTACTGCACTCCTTGGACAAAGGAAGGGGCAAGCATTTGACATTTCCCGGCCACCTCTCAGATACTTTTCTGGGTTAAAGATTCCCCCAGATTAGCAGAGTTTATGTAACTTAGAATTTGGCTCGAGCGACCGAAGTCATGGCATGAATCTGGCAGTACAAACCATCTGATTAGCCCAGTGCTAATTTCAGGTGAACCTGAGAGGCCAGTCTTTTGTAAGATTCTGCTTCTGCTGAACTTGAGGCTTTTTTTTAATCTTTTCTAATGCTGGTTCAATGTGATTTTTTTTTTTTTTTCCCCTAGTCCAAAGACCAGGTGAATAATAAAACAGAGGGAACTTTGACTAAAAGATTTCAGATTTCACTTAACAGTCTAACCTTCATGCTCATGAGTGCATCAGTGCCATTTGGCAGCAAACTGAAAGACAAGACACGGAGCCTCCAAACTCATACACATGTCTGCACTACAGAAAATTATTTTGGTACTTTGCTCATTGCAGATATACCCTCTGATTTCTTGGTCCAGCATTTTTTACTATAAATTGCAGACAGGAGCAGGGCTTGCTTGTAATTACAGCAAAGAGGTTGCACAGTCTACCATGTTATCAGGCACTGCTACACATGTTTAAAGATACAGATGAAAGCACTGAAAAAAATAAAAATATTTTTCCACTTCCCCTTTGAAAATACTAGAAAAAAACCCAGATGGCCTGTGCACTCTATTCCTAGTGGCCACACTTCTAGTAGGGTACCAAGTGCAAGTGCCAGATCTGAACCTGGAGCCTCAACACCAGGTGAAAACAAAAGTGAAAATGTGGTGACACTCTTTCCTCATCTTTGTGAACCACTAAGCAGAAGCGCCAGGGTGAGCTCATGGCTGAGCCCTGACTGAGGCAGGAGAATGTACACCTTCCTCGGCTGTGAAAAATCTCTTGGTTTTTTTTCCTCTTTTGGAAGCAGTAAGGGAGGCATCTCCAGCTGAAGAGTCCTCCAGACTAGATCCTGTCTACTTTACACTCAAGAAGCAGCGAAGAGACATGGGAGCTATTTTATACTTAAAAGAACCTCAGACAAGTGAAGAAAAAAAAAAATTGATAGAAACTGTCATCCATAATAGCAATGAGAAGCAGGCCTGAGGAGCCTCATTTATATAAGCAGCAGCCTCAGTGTGAGTGAGACTCAAGCCCTGTATCTCCAGAGATATTTTGATTTTGACAGACTTCTCAAAGATATGCCTACGTATATCTATAAGAAGATGCCCCAGGAGAGCCTTCCAATCTGGGTACAGGGTTTGCGACTACTAATCCAAACCTCTGTTGTTCAGGCTGTTGTCACTGCTCAGAGTTGTTATGGAAGTGTTACTAATAGTCATAGTCTAGATGACTATAAAAATGTCCTCTTTTATCCTTCTTTGGATGATGGCCACTTACTGTTTGCTATTAAGAAGGCCCAGCTGGTATCTGTTTCAAGTAGTGGATGAAGAATTTCTTCCTGAAGTTTGAATTCTTGGTCTTGTGAAGTTCTGATACTGTGACCTTTTTCACAAAAGGCTAAAGATGGTAAACAACACTGCAAGCAATGTGTCGATTAATATCTTGCTGACTGACATCCCCCTTTTTATCACAGGCACTTTTCTCTTCTCTGCTTGAACTCCCTTGACTTGCTTGAACTATCTGCAATCCCCCAAATGGCTAAACTTTGTTGGGTGTTGAAATAGTTTCTAACTATAGCTAAACCAGCTCATCAGGGTATTGTTCTAGTTAATTGAAGTTTGTAATACACTTTGAGATCCTCGTATGAACTGTGAAGTATAATCACAAGCGCAAAATAGAATTGTTTATAATTCATAATGTGGTAGCAGCCAGGCCAATGGGGGAAAGTTGAAAGGAAATTCAAAATGTATCCTTTGCCCTTTGAAGTTTGACTGCAATTTGGCACATGCATCAAAGAGGTGACTAGTTTCCTTTAGGGTTTAAATCTCTGCCGAAAAAGATCAAATCAAAAGCAATCTGAGGTTCCCAATTAGATTTATATTAAAAATCAATAATGAAGACCCTAAAAAGGCATACTGATGGCTCTTGAAACACTTGTGCAATGAGTGCAGCTCATTTAAGGGCAGGCTGTGATAATCCTTGCTTTGATTAGTAGCTATATCATGAGTAGTCCCATTTAATTTAGTGCAGTGATTTACTGAATAAAATGCTATTCAGCGGGAAATCATCCCAGCCTTGTCCTCATGATTCCATATGTAGCCTGGAGGGTGGGCTACCTGGGCTGTGTTGAGCCAAGCAGCCACAAGGACCTCCATGGGCAGCAGAAGCAAGGGTATCAGCAGCTGGGCCCAGGTTTTCTGTAGGCTGGCTGTATTGTAAAGGTACAGTTCCTGGCCATAGATCATAACTATATGTGATTCTAAAGGCTGTAAAGATTTCATGCTATGTTCTTTCATGCTGATTCATTTTGCCCTCCAGGTGAAATAATTAGTTGATGCAAATACAATAACTGAGGAACCTTAATGGCCTCCTGAGATGGTGGTATAACTTAGGTGCACCTGATAGCATGAGAAATTTGCCTCAATGGTACTTAGCCAGGATACAGGTGCACCATGTATTTGATTTACATCTCATGTTAAAGTGTTATTCTTTTATACTTCAGCTCAATCACTATGTCTAATCACAGGGTTTAGTAGCTTAAACGGCACACTAAGGACACAATTCAATTAAAAAATGTCCTGCAGAAATACTTTTATATTGTTTTCCCAGCCTTGTGTAGGCTTCTGCAGAGAAACTGTGATTTCTTTTTAATAAGATGGGCCCTAGGATTCCTTCTATTCCAAGTCATCCTCTCCCTTTCTTTTTGATATGTTTTGTCACATCCTTAGTACATAAGGGGATTATGTTGTTGTTGTAAAATTAGTATTTACAAAAGTCATCTTTTGCTTCTTCATTAGCTTGAAAATCTTTGGAAGACAGTGGATGGCAGCGCTGGTGGATGCTTGAAGTATCAGGACTTTTTGAAGAAGTTTAGCTTGGAACATGTAACTATGTCATCAAGCACTCCCAGTGCAACTACTTCTGCAACTTCTACCAAGCCAGTTACCTGTGCTGTGCAGGACCCACGCATGTCTTCTCAGCCTGAAAGTCCCAAGACACAATCTTCTCTAGCAGGGCAAAAGAGTGTAAGTGTGGTGGTTTTATGAATTTTCTGGATTTTCACTTCTGTGCATAGGCTGAAAGTAATGGCTGTGGAATTCAGTGCAGGTATTCCTATTGATTGCCCATAAAATCAGGCACAACCACCTGCCAATAAGCAAATTAGGTAACTTGCAAACCTCTGTTACACTGACAAAAATTGGGCCAGACAGTAACTCCACTGAAGTCAAAGGATATATGTCAATTATACCAATAGCATTCCCTGCTTGGAATAAATTGGTATCAGTATAAATGCTATTATCGTACACATATCTGTGGTCATCTGACAAAGCTAGGCAGGATTGGCAGTTCCAGTTTTCTAATAGGTATTGTTGGCCTGTCCAAAAACATCCTGGTGGTCTTATCTGCTTTCTGGTGGATGCCAAATTATAGCTGCTAATGCCTGATAGTCTGATAGACTTGCCATGAAGGCCAGTGGTCTGAGAGAAGTAAAAGCAGCAGATTAGGAATGCAGTAGTTTTGCTTCATTTTTGCATCCATACCTATACTTCATGTCAATAATGCACTTTGGTCCTTTCCACTGCCATGCTGGCCTCTTACCCTAGTGATAGAATTCAAAGAAAGGTGGGGAAATCACTACAGGCAGAAAGATTAAAGATCTCCCTTGTGGAGCTGCACCTATGTATTCCATGTTCTTTAGCTACAACCAAACTTAAAACAGAAAAATAAAATACTTGAAATTATTCTGTGCTTGGAACATGCTTGGATTTTCTGACTACTTCTACATGGAGATGTTTAGCTACTGAAAAAGAAATAACAGATTGAGCAAATTAAAGATGCAAACAACTTGTCAGGGTTGGTAAATCTAAACATTGGCCCATTGCTCACTCAATTATTGCATTAACTATAGGTTCTTTCTTGAAAAGCTCAGACAACTAGCTACATGCATCCATCATGCTTTGATCCAGTTCCCAGAGAAAGCAATGGAAAATTCCTCGTTACTGTCTCTGAATGCTAGATTGGGCAGTATAAGACAATAGGAAGGGAACTTAAGTCTCCCCAAACTCATGGCTGTTGAAAAGACCCTGGCCAGCCTGCACACCAATCAGGATGAATGTTCCTGCAGCATTCATTGCATGGAAATGTGTGTGAGGCCTCAGCAAGTCTGCACCAGTAAGACCCTCAAAAGAGGGCTGGGAAATATCACTAAATAGGGGATTATACATTGGATTTAGAAGCATAAATACCATTTGTGCACATATTGTCCAGTGGTAGGCTGAGGCTTTGCTTCCAGCTCACCCATAGCACTGCTGAGGCAGTAATCAAAAAGACACTGAGCACCAGGATCCTCTCACATTATTTCTTCTGTGGCTTTGCATAGGACCAGGAGTTCTCCCAATAACAAATCAAAGCAATGTTATTTTGTAATTCAGTGACTTTGCACTGGTTTGTTTGTTCTAAGATGGCACTAAATAGCTTTTTTTTTGAACACAGTATCATGCCATTTAATAAGAAAGTTTGGAGAAACTATAAATGATTTACAAATTAAGCTAAATAAAGAAAAAGTGGTTAAGGCCCATTAAATGAATAGCATCATTTTGACACAAAGAGTGTTCTCACATTCTTATCTACAGTTTTGCAGACACAATTCAAATCAGACTTAGAAGTGGGTCAAATGGTACATTAACCTCAAATCTGGAAGACCAGAAACTGGATTTGTCATCTGGTGGTTTGTCTACACAACCAGTAAAACTCAATGGAAAAATCTGTTACCTCTTTCTTCTAGATACCAACATCCAGTCGTCCTCAGACAACAACAACTTGTTGTTGCACCTATCCTTAACTGTGAAACAATAGAAAATAAGATAAGAAAGAACATCCAACATTCCTGGAGAGGCATACTGAAAGTATGCAAAGAGAAGGATGTCAGCAAGCTAGGAGAAATCCCAGTGTCAGACTTCCTAGGTTTGTTACCATCTGAAAAGTGCTTTATTCATTCTCAGATGCATTCTGTTTTCTTTCTGATGTCCCAGCCATAGGAACATCTGGCCTCTAGTGTGACATCCACTGCATGATGGCTCCAGGTACCACCCTGCTATTGCAGAACACGTTAGCTTCAGATCTCTTATCTCAGTTAATGTCAAGGAGTACTTCTGCCTTGAAAATCAAAATGACATGTTATCAGTCCTCTGAAACCCTGTAAAATGTGAATTGCCACACCATAAGTGAAGGCATATGCGTATACCTGCATACAGCAAGATCTGCATAACATTTATGCAGCAGTCACTGCAACTGATGGCCTGTCAACATAGCCCTGCTAAAAATTGTGAACATGGGACAATGTTTGGCCATTTTTAAGAATGACAAAATGAATACTTTCTTTGCATTTCAGATATAGCAGAGAAATTCAATTTGGATTTAAGTGAAGGGGAAATTAACCAAATAACAACAAAATATGATTTAAAGAAAAACAGAAGACTTGCATATTATGACTTCCTTCAGAGCTGTATCTTGTTGTTCAAACCACAGGAAAGCTCACTGCTACAGAGGGTGATTATACAGAAGCCACAAAAGCCAGTAGGTACAAAGCACTTAAAAAAAATCAAAATTACTGTTTTTTTCAGTTTCTACTGTACTGATAGGGTGTTTCATGGCCTGTTTCTATAGTCACTTTATGCAGGAGCTTTTCTTTCTCTTATTTAATCCCACGATATTAATTGCCTAGTATTCATTTGGTACCTCCTTCAACTGAAGTATTTAACTCTCTGGAATAATGTTCTGTATGTCCAGGTTATATGGTAAATTGGACAAATTTGCTAAAATGTGGATAATAATTCCAAATAGAAAACCATCCATAGGAGCCAATGGTTTAAGAGCTTTTGTTGAACTGAATAAAAAACAATCTAGAAATAAAAAGTGCATGGGATGTGTCTTGGGATGGCCCTGACTAGAGACCTTGTCAGCAAACTATCCCTCTGCTCCATACCCCGCACTGTAAGAAAAGCCCAGAGGAAGCTCTTACTTGCACTGCTGTTAATGGCCATTAAATACATCCAGTAGCCAGGACTGGCCAGCACACACTGTGCCCTCACAGCTCTCCCTGCCACACATATCAGCTCCCCAAGCTGCAACGAAGAGGCAAAAGAGTCTCAGCAAGACAGCTACACAGAGGCTGTTCCCCTCTGCCCACAGTACTGCTCTAGGGCAGGAAAGATCAGAAGAGACACAGAAATCTGGCTCTCATGGCCCAGAAAGAAAGGTGTTGGTAATAGCATCCCAATCAAGTTATGTAGTAGGAACAGTGCCAAATTCCAAATCTGCTCATTCAGCAAGCCTGCTACATTTTTAGGCTGTTTCTGATTGTGCCTAATTAGTTTAGATATGGTTAGTAGCAGCATTTCATAGAGAAATTACATTACCAAACTGTTTTCAGATGTGAAACAAACAGATTGCTACCAGGGTATGAAGATAGTATCATTAGGAATTATCAAGTATTCACTAACAGTAGGGAGAGTAAGGTAAAACTATTAAATTTTGTATCAAAGAACTTCATTATCTTACATAAGGTTTCTTTTATACACAAATTTGATGCTGTAAAATTCCATACCAGTATTCTGGAGGGGATAAAGCAGTAATTTAAATCCCTATGTAGTGGTCTCAATTTTTATTTTATTTATTCTATTTGGAAAAAACAATGAAGGTCTCAGTCCATGTTCTGAGCACCTTTGTATAATATAATATTCAGAGTGAAATTTCCTCATAAATTGCTCACTCCATTCCACCTAGGATGTATACAGATCAAAAGAAATCATAAAAACCAAACTTCTTTTGGGGGTGTCAGGCATAATTCCTTCTTTTTTTCAAAAGGTCTGAATCAATGGCCTAGGGTTTCATGGAAGCATCCAGGCTCTGAGCTATGAAAACAACCCAAGTTGAAGTCATCGTAAAGCGCCCTTTCCCTTCCATCAGCTCTCAAGAGAACTCAGTACTTCAGGTTGGAAAATGCATTATTCATTTACCCACTCATTCCTCAGCTGCACAGTCTGTTGGAAGAATACCCCAAAAGCACAGAAAAATGGTACAGCTGCCCCAAGGTTCTTACAGCACATGTCGGTGCAGCACAGCCTCTGTGTCCATGTAGCAGATGTATGAAGTCAACTGTACATTTCCTTCACAAGGAGATGCATGTAGAGACTCCAGTGACATGTGCAACTGGCACACAACAACAGTAATAAATGCTGGGAGAGCACAGGGAGAAGCTGAGATGGATATGTTCTAGTTTTTTTTTTAAAAAAGGTAGTAGAGAAGATCAAGTGCAGGGGGAAGCTGAGATGGATATGTTTTAGTTTTTGGTTTTTTTTAAAAAGGTAGTAGAGAAGATGAAGAGCCTGCAGGTGGATTGGACCTTGTTGACTTTTCCCCAAAGTCCTTTACTCATCACTCCAGTGTTAAAGCTTTGTACAAGTGGAATTAATTTTGCCTTAGTGAACAGTTCCCAAGTTTGTGTGATCAGGGTATACCAATGTAACAGGTTTAGCCAGGTTAAAACAACAGGCCACATGTCCCAAAGAAAATTAACCCTATGGTCCAGCTGTGGAACCATAAAAATGTTCAAAAACTGGTTACAAGATATTTTATGTGCTGGGAAAAATTGTACAGCAGGGTTTTGTTTATTCTTAAATAAATACCATACTGCTCCCACAGTTGGCTTATGCATTCAGTCACCTTTAAGCAAAAATTCCACTCTGAAAAATGAACACCACAGAGAATTAAGTGACGGAAAGAGGGAGTTGAAATAAGGACAAGCATAATACATGTGAAAGCACTGAGATCTGAGCAGAAGTAACACTGACTTCAGAATCAGTTTCAAATAATAAAGTTAGGGCTTTGACAGTGATTAAGTAAATATACCATCTGCATTTCCCAAGAATATCAACATTTTATAGGTTAAAATAATCTTGTGTAAACAGTATCTTGCAATAATTTGTAAACAACTATTCATCAGCCAGTTGCAGATTAAGGCAGTATTACAGTCCAACATCTTTTCATTCTGCATTATAGTTGTGCCCAGTTGTGTTCATGATGCTGTTAGAAAATGCAAGTCTTTCTCATCCAACTTTGTTAGCTGAGTCCTGGACCACAAACCACATCTTTCTTCAGCACAATGCTGAGAATTCAGCCCCAGATCCTGCACTGCTGGAGACCAATGAAGCGAACTTTTAAATCCTATGATGAAAGTCGTACTGGACTGTTAAGTATCACAGATTTCAGACAAGTAAGTTGCATTTAGCAAATAATAGTCAGAAAATTACAGGTATCTAAGCTTCCTGATTGAAAATTTTCTGAAAAATGGTACTGAACTAGAGCATATAAATTCATCATGGCTCCCCTCTGTGACTTCAGCTCTGACCATTCCTCACAGTAATCTTTCTCCACATGCAATTACACTTCCTTGGGGTCTGAGGTCTTGGTGGGGTCCTGAATAAATAAAACAGAGAAAAACCTTAGTCCCTATACAAAGTTTAAATGCAAACCTTTCACAAACACATGGGAAGGGAATAGAAGCATACCTTCTGGTAGGTCTCCCTACAGGCACTGCTACAGCTACAGGATCCTGCAACACCCCAACTAGTGAAGCCATTCCACATTTAGAAGAGACCACAAGTAATCCTCATTTGCGAGCCTCTGTTTCTTGTTCCTCTCTTTGCTCTTTGGTGTGCAGCATAATTTTGTATCAGGCAAGGGATCTGTATCCTCTGCAAATATTTAGGCACCTCGTATCTCTTCAAACAGCAAATACACACCTGTGTGTTCTGGGTATCAACAATTCTTCATCTAGATCCATGGGGAGTTTAATTTTTGCTTGGCTTTACTGATTTCAAAACCTTTGACACTGTTTTAACTAGGAATAATAATCACTATCTGCTCTGGAGTAATTCTGAATATTTACTATTCAACTGCAACAATAGAGTGGGGCCATAAACCCATTTAATGCTGGGTGCATTAGGACACCCCTTGGTATCACTACAACTTCAAAAAAAAAAAATCAACTAGCAGACAGGATGCTCAATCGCAGAAAGCAAATGCTTGACTGCAATAAGCAAAAATAAGGTGTGCTTCTGATGCTCCCCTTCCCCCGGAGCTGTAGGAAGCCAGCTTGCTTCATTATACGAGTCACAGAACTGCTCTTTTAAATTTGCACTTATTTAGGACTGGTGGGAATGTGATGTGTTCTGGCACTGTCGCACAGCTGAAACCCAAGTCCCTGCCTGTCCCTCTCTAAAGGCTGAGGAGCAAGACGCATCAATGTGGCCATATCAACTTTGTGCCTGAGGCTCCCTGTTTATCACTGCAGATTTCTCATTGCTTGGGCACTGCCTCAGCAGACCAGGCTCAGGGAAGGAGTGAAGATCAGGCTCATTGCATTTGCTCTTAATTTGTCATATTCCTCTAAGACATGTGATGATTACCATTTCTAGTTAAAGCAATGTCAACAACTTTCAAATCAAGCTTCTTGACATGATGTAAGCTAAGGAAAAAAAAAACCACAAGCAAAAAACTCTTCATGGATCTAGATCAAGAAGCAATCCCCAGTTCCAAAAGCCTACTACAAAAGTGTTAATCTGCTGTTTGACAAGATATCAAGTGATTTGTGGAGGTACAGATCCCTTTATCTCCTAGGTAACTTCATTTACTGAAACGGGGAAATTAGCTCGCTACCAACTCCAGTAACACTGCTATTTATGGCTGTACTATCTGCAAGGGGTCATTAGTGATTTCTGATGCTGAGCTGTTAAGAGGGAAAGGGGCGGATTAATGCAAGTTTGCCAGAAAACTAATGACAACTGGCATAGCACACAAGGACACACCGTGTTGCTGGTAACTTCCAGGGTTTAAATTCCCAAGTGTGTCTAAAACCAGAAGTAATCCTCAGAAATTAATGCACTGTTCTCAACACCCTGACATGAAAGAAAATGTTTTAAAACTGTTGAAGTGCTGAAAAATGCACCAGGTGAAATGTTTGAAAGGTGCAAGTATCTAACCTGGCTTTTAGCATCAGGTGAACCAGATGCATCCTGTTCAAGTTGGGTTCTCACTGAAGTGTTAGGAAAGCATGCTTACAGGCTGATCATTTGTCCCATGGAAATTAAAAGTATGGAGTGCACCATGGGCATTATTATTACATAGGGGTTTGCACAGTTTGAGTGACTAGATTATTCCTTCTGTTTCCCCAGATGCAAAGAAAGGAAGATATTCCACCTCTTCACCTCATCTCCAGATAGCATGAAAGCCTTTTAAACATGCATATTTTATAAATTAGCTTCTATGCACATGGGTGCTCCCCATTTCACAATGCTCCCTCAGGCAAGAGCTAGTTGGGCTAGTGGACAAAACCCCCTGGGTATGCAGGTGTTCAGCTAGGCAACCCAGGGGGCCAGTATTGGCATGGGCAGCGTAAGAGATGATAAAAGAAGGTTTGATTTTCTAATATTCTGAGAAACCTAAGACAGGGTGGAGCTGAATAACCAATAAAATATCCAAGTTACTTTACAAAGAAATTTTAGCAAGAGAAACTAATGTTTTTACTTCTTGCTCTCCCAAAGCACTGGAGTAAGTTTTAAAGTTCTCTCTGTCTTTTGTAGGTTCTTCATGACTACTGCATTGACCTAACTGAAGAGGAGTTATTCAACATTTTGGAATATTATGATAAAATTTTGTCTTCAAAAATATCCTGTAATGATTTTCTCTGGGCATTCATACAGTAGGATTTGGTCAAATGCAGGAAACAGTAGATAAAGACAGTGACTGACTTATAATTTCAAACTAATAAATTAATTGAGTATGGTTTTTTTGTATCTATTCATTAGAAAACTCAAAATACTTTAAAATTCTGACAGTGGTCCTGTGTTGTGGATTATATCTACACTGTGAGGGAATTAATTTTGCATAATCCATTTATCAAAAAAGAAAAATACAACAATTAACATTATCAAAATAATGCTTCCTAAGACATCTCCAAAAGCAATTCATCTAAGGAAATTCTTTTTTTATAATTGTATGCTTTTTATTAATGACATACTCTTAACTTCAGTAAAAAGGTTTACAAGGCATACTATTCAATTTCCTCAGCTGTCATTTTCCAAGTGTATTACTTCTAATATGTTATCCTTCATTATTCAAAAAAATCATACCATTTCTTGGTGCATTTTTTTTCTCTACTTGCAGTGCCATATTTGTACTGTCAAAGACATGTTAATTTGCACCAGCTATTGAAATCTGAGCAGATGTCAACTGTGTGTGGACACTACACCTTCCTCTGTTAAAATTGTTCTAAACTGTGCTGAAGGCTGTAGAAAAGAAGTAGCTACTTTCCCAATAAACATTGGCTTCTTAACTGTAGAGAAATATTCCCAGTGTTAGCCTTGAGGTTTATTTTTAAGGATACTATATATATATATATTTATACATTACACAGTAAACTGCAAGTAAAACTTCTGCTTAGATTTCCCAGTTCTAGAAAAAGATCTGTTCTAATAGCTTGTGAGGTACTTACACCTTGGTGAGGAAATAAAAAGATAATTGTTTGACTGTTGAACTCTTGTGATAATGAAAGGATAATACAACTATCAGAGCCTGCTTCCTGGAATTATATCAACAATTAAACACTTACCTGCTCTGAAGAATTGTTAGATAAATATTCCACTGTCTAGTTCCTGTTTTCATCAGAAGAGCCTTGTCCTCATCACCTGTACTTATTTTGTGCCTGTCTTTCTCCCAGGTAACATACAAAGATAAGTCAACAAAATTTAAGAAAAAAAAAAAAGAAAGCATGTTATACATGTACAAACGCACATATATATGTGTCTCAAGGAACACCTTTGAGATGGGAAAGGGCAGAGGAACGTAATCCTGGTTTTCTTATTATTTCTAGTGAACATGTGAACTATTGTGATGAATCTGAACGGTTCCCAGCGCAGAACATCAATGCACAGTTTTCTGAGAAAATATTTCATTGCATTTGGAGTTTTTCAGGAGATATTTTGCAGATTTTAAGTAAAAAGCATTGGGGAGGTTTCAGGTTGAGTGTTCTGTACTGTTTCTCTTTTAGCTTCTAAGATTTGTGTGATTTGTACTGTACTACAAAATAAATACATTTGGAATTGGATATAGTTGAAATAGTAACATAAAAAAATGCTTGCTAGACTTATTTCCAAAACCAATAGCTATCTGTAAGTCCCTGAAACTGATGCTTAGATATTTGATTAACAGAGGGGCCTGCAACTACCATTATTTAAGGATGTTCTCTCATATTTAACCAATTAAAAATTTCCTTTAATAGAAAACAGCAGGGTTTAAGAATATCTGTACATATATCAGCAAGTGACTGAAAAGGGCTGTTCCTGGTTCAGTTGCCTGAGCCCAGGCATGAGCTGGCTATCCTCCCGGCAGGTCCTGCGTTAACACCAGCCAACCCCACGAGGATGCCTCCAGCGTCTGAGGGCATCTCAAACCACAGCAGGTAGCTGTGCTTCAGCAACTGAGCTGAGCCCAAAGGGGGGGATCAGTTTAGCCCTTCTTAAGATCCAAGTAGCCTATTTTTGTTTAATTTTATCCTTGTAACTAGTGTGAAGCTTTTTTTTCCCCCCCCAAAAAAAGTCTCCTATACCTCCTGTTTGATAATGTCCAATTTGATATCAAGTACAGTATGACTTCCATCCTTGCGCTGCATTCTGGCATGCCGCGCAGCTACCGCGTTTCACAAAGGGATGCGGGAGTTGTGTCCCTTGCTCTGCCATTTTCCAGATACCTACCGCCTTCAGGAAAGGCGAGGGGGTGGATGTCTCTGGGTTTCCTGACACATCCTGCCAGAGGATTTTTCATTAGTTCGACTGGCAGGGATTAAAGAACAATCTTTTCGCTGTACAAACAAATCAAATCCTGCTGTTTTTTTAGTGAGTTCTTAAAGGCGGGGATGGCACTTACCAACTGTTTATCCAACCTCAAAAAAACCCCAATTGAATTTCAACTCCCAGCTTTTCGAAATAACTGAGGTAATTTGTCATACTAAAAATCACAAACTGGATGGATAAGCTTTGTAATACAAGAGAGCTTTTTTTTTTTTCTCCAGCCATTCCCCCTAACCCAGGGCCAACCGCCCAGCCGGGAGAGCCTGGCAGAGATCCCCTGTGTTTCCACTGCAAGGCAGGTAATGTCAGTGGGATTGAGCATTATCCCAGGGTAATGGCCTCCTGCTGCTGTATGTAAACACTGCGGCAAAGCTGAGGCAGTTAAGAAAATAAAAACATCAGCACAAAGCTAAGAAATTTAATTTCCAAGCAGAGGACGTTGATCCCGAGCCTGCTCAGGATCGCCATTTTCTCTGTCGCCCCTGCTGCTGAGCAGCAGCACCGGCACAGAGACACCAGCCCAGCTGCCTCCATGTTGCCCTCAACCCACTGGGCCACTGCTTTGGGCAGGAGGCGAGGAGCACAAAGCCTCAGAGGGATTTTGGGAGCATGGGTCCCTGCCAGCACTCCCTGGGAGGCGGCTTCTGCTGCCACCGAAACACAGCAGCAGCAGGCGATGGCCTCCTCCCTGCCCCTCACCGGCCATCAAGCCGCAGGGAGTCGTCACTGGCTGTTCCCTCCAGACGTGCCTCTTCTTGGCTCAGTAGAGAAAAGCCCTTAAGCAAGGTCTCCCACCTCCCTCGCCAAAGGTCCTGCGGTGGCCGTTGGGAAGGGAGGTGTTTGCCCTCAGGCACAGAGGCTGTGGCGTGGCCTCCCGGCTGCAGCACACCCCGTGACCAGGGGAGACGTCCGCTCTCAGCAGCCTCTCCAGCAACGCCTGGAGAGCGGCGGACAAGGACCCCAGGGGTTAGCTCAGCTGTGGGCAGCAACCGGCTCCCTGCAAGAGCAGTGCCAGCTCCTTCCACCCAGGCCCAACATTTCCCTGCTGCTCTGTCCCTGAAACCAGCGGTCCCTGTGACCGCTCACATGCCTCTCCGGTGCTGGAGACAAAAGGCTTGTGACGGCAAAAGGAAAACAGGTCCTTCAGCAGTGTTTAAAGCTTTCTTTCCTTCACTCCAGAGCAGAATAAGCTAACTGAAGGAGACTCGCTAACCATATCCGCTGCCGCGGAGGAGCCTCACGTCACTGCCAGCTCACCTGCCCACCGGACCCGTCTTGCTTCCCCACCTGCACAACCAGGTTCTGCTTCTGGCTACGTCCCTCTGCAAAACAGCCGCTCGCACCCGGTGCCTCCGACAGCAGCTGGAAGACAGGCACCTCCAGCTCGCCACTGCCATGTTACATACTCCAGCTGGTCAGAAAACCCTTTTACAGTAAGGAAACATCATAAAGGAATACTGGCTACCAGTATGGGGAGAAGCCCCTCCCTGAGCTGCAGCTGTCCCAGAGGGACCAGGTCACCACTAGCACCAGCCATCATGACCCTGCACTGCAGGAAAAATCCCACCAGCCAAGCACCATAGGGTGTGCAGGTAATTAAAATGCAGTATAAATATCTCTTACCATACAGAAAGTGAATTTCATATAGAATCAGACTACAGAAGAAGAGCCAGTGCCTGTCTCTGGATTTATCTTCCTCCCCTATTTTTTCCTCCTAGGTTTTTCTCACTTTGAAGCCCCTGTAAATATGGCTGCTCACCAGTAAACATGTGCTGCTCATTAGCACATCCTAAAGCCCACCTGAGCTACTTGGCCTCTTCAAATCCCCTGCCCTGAGGCCAGCCTGCTGCTACTGCCAAGAAGCAGGGGCTGGGTTGGGGGGGCAGATCCAGGAGAGCCCTTTTGGAGCGGGGCGGGAAGGCTCTTGGCTAGAAGTGTGAGGGAGGGGGACCAAGGGAAATGAAGGCCAGGATTCAGTCAGAGGAGGGAAGGAGGGAGAGGTCTGTAGACTCTGTACCAGCTATTTCTATCCTAGGGCTTGGCGTGGAGCCTGCGAGAGCAGAAATAGAGCCTCTCTGTGCTCAAAGGAGGAAGAAGTAGGGAAGGGCAGAGAGAGGGCTGGCGCTGGGCAAGGGGACAGAAGAGAAAGGAAAGAAGGGAGAGGTTCATATGGGCTATCTTTTACATCAGCCGCTGGCGCAAAGCCTGCAAGGCTAGAAATAGAGTGAGCTGTCGGGAGAGGGGAAAGTCAAACTTCTTCAGAATGCAGTCATTTCGTTTGTTTGATTAAGGCATTACTGTGTGAAGTGCCTATATCTCTGCGCAGTTACTGTTTTTATCTGGATGATATGCAGCAGGTCATGAGCAGTAAGGGATGCTCTAAACACAGGAAATGAAAATCAGATTAAAAAAAAATCCACTTTCTAAAAATTAATTTTCTTCTGTTTTTGAATTTTTCTATGCTAAAGGCTGTCATGCAATGGAAAGAGCATTATTATGCTGTGAAAAGAGTCATAAAAAGAATTTTGTGTTATATCAATACTTAAAATATGCAAATATGATATCTTCACAACGCCCCAAAATTATGCCTGGCATGAATTCTTAGCAACAATACAAATATCATCATCCTCAAATAAGCAGGTATAACACGCTGCTCAAATAGCTGTAAAAACAACCTCATCACAGCTCTGGGAGCATCCAAATTTCATCTTTGATGTAGGTAGATTTTAAGTAGGAACAGGAAGAAAGTTGTCTTAAACATCAGGATGTATCGGGATGAGCCTTAGTGGAGCAACTGCATATTTAATGTTGAAAGGAGACCTGCCGGCGTGCATTTACAGAGACGACGTAGTTATAAA